AGATCATCTGAACAGTGGTGATCTTTGTGGACTGATCGGTGGAACAGCCTCGGCAAGAAGGGCCATCGCATTGTGCCACCCAAGTGGTGTCTCCCATGTCTTTGCAGAGATTGCCTCGACTGCACAAGAACCAGTGTCAACATTGGAGCCCCTCAGGGACGGTCTCAAAGACCTGTTGGTACCCTGTCTTTTAGAGGAAGTGTCTATGACTCCAGCTAGGTTCAGCCGCCGTCACTCCCCTCCTCAGTTGGCCTCCTTGTTGTCTCCAGCTAATGACAAATACGGTTCTGCTGTTTGGAACCCTTCATGATCTGACCAACCCACCTCTTCCAGGCTTCTGGGTGTGACTCCCCTTCCCTGGCTCTAAGGGCTGGCTAAATGGGCCTCCTGGTGGTTACTCACACACAACAGTCCATCTCCAGGCTCCAGGCGTTTGTTCAGGCTTCCCCATGCCTGGATCGAGCTTCCCCCTCCTCTCCTCTGCCCTTGGAGTCCCTCAACTTCCCCAAAGCACAGTTCAAGAGCCATCTTCCTAATGCCTGTCCCTTATTTATTGGGTAGATGCTCGTATGTGGAAGCGTTTGACTTCTGAGAGAATGGATGCTTTAGTTGTTAGCTCCCCAACACATAGCACCCTGCCCGTATATTTAAGAGGGACCTAATAAATGCTTGTTGCTGGATTGGCTTTTAAAGACAAAAGCAAGACAGACCCTGCTTTTGAGGAGTCTATATCCTCCTGAGGGAAGCGACGTGTGCAGAGATAAACACAAATTATATAGAAATTTAACACAAAGTAATGACTGGGAGGCAGGGGAGAGGGAGTGGGAGAATCAGGACGAACCTAGGTAGTGACCCAAGAGAACCGGGGACAGGGGTGGGGAGGAAGGAGAAAGCACTGCAGGCATGTGGGACAGTATAAGCAAAGGTGGGGAGGTGGGAGGATGTCTTGTGTGCAAGACAGCAAGCGAGGCCAGGATGGCTGAAACAAGGAGTGTGTGAGGAAGAGGAATGTGGAGTCCAGAAAGGGGAAGGCCTTTGAGCTGGGGACTGGCCAGCCCCATGCATTAGAAATCTCCCAGCCCCCCCACCCCCCACACACACAATTTATACAAACAGTACACATTCATGTACGTAAACACATACACAGGTCACACATGCTCTGCGGTCCCCTTGATTACCGTTCTGTCTTGAGTTAAACACATAATGAATGTTAAGTAATAATCATGAATAATATGACATATAGTGCTTTCAGGTTGCTAAGCCATTACATGTGCTACATCAGTTGGTTCTCATATCAACTCTGGGTGTTATTTCCATTTTACAAGCAGGGAAACCAAGGCTAGGCGACTTGCCTGGGCACTGAGCTAATAAGTACCCCTGCAGGGTTTGAACCCAGGTCTTCCTTTCTGACTTCTAAGTCCAGGGCTCTACTCACTATCCCACCCTCTGCCTCGATGGAAAAGCAAATACAGTAAGATGGATGTTGCTTTGCAGAACTTTAAACTCCCTGAACGATGCCTTTTTTTTTCTCTGGTGAGGCAATCAGGGTTCAGTGACTTGCTGAGGGTCACACAGCTAGTAAGTGTCAAGTGTCTGAGGCCGGATTTGAATGCAGGTCTTCCTGACGCCAAGGTCAGTGCTCTATCCATCTAGCTGCCCTGGTGAAGCCTCCTGCTGCTGCTGCTGTCCTGGTCTCTGTTTCTAAGGGTGGAGCAAGCTGTTTCTGTGGCCCCGTTGCCCTGCACGGCTCACCAGCCAAAGCTAGTTCTCCAGTCTGAGCAGGAGGCAGGGTCTGAGCTGGAGAGGGGCATGGAGAAGCTGGTGCAGCCACCCCTTCGGGCTTTGTCTCTGGGCACTGGGAGGCAGCCCTTCCTCCCTGTGGTGTCTGCCAGGCTTTGTAGATGGTCCCCTGGTACCTCGATTACCACAAGCATGCATGTCCATGTGTACATACACATATACAACATACGCAGCATGCACACGTGTGCACGCAGACACATGACCCATTTCCCAGGCCTGGGCTGCCTTTTGCATAGGGTTCCGAGACCTCCCTCGAGGCCTGCCTTTCCCTGCTCCTTATCGTGGTGGTGATGGATTACCTGCCCACACATGACAGTCCCCATGAGCCCACTGGAGGCAGGACACCCACCCGAGATTGGGGGGGTGGCGCTGCCTGGGCGTCCCAGGCATGCATGACCTTCCCCATGAACCTGCTGGAGGCAGGACACCCACCTGAAATCAGCAGTGGCATCAGTGGAGGTGGTGCTGCCTGGGTGTGCCAGGCATGCTTGCCCTTCCCCATGAGCCCTCTGGAGTCCCTGAGATCAGCAGTGGCATCGGTGGAAGTGGCAGTGCCTGGGCATCCCAGATGGTCTCTGAAGGACTTGAATTTCTTGCTATGGCTGGGCTCACCTGGGCAGAGGAGAGAATGGGGGCTCAGGGCTGGAACCAGGAGGAAGCTCAGGCCTCAGCCCGTGGTCACCTTGCCACAACTTTTTCCTTGTGTCTTCCAAACTCTTCAGGTCAGCTCCTTCTTGAGATGGGGCAACTGAAGCAAGGTTCCCATTTCAGAATGGCAAAAACAAGGGGGCAGAGGCTGGCTGGCCACCCCTGGTCACACGGGAGTCACACAAAGGCTGGAATACAAATGCAGAACGGTGTGTTGGAAAGAGGACTAGAAGGAGAGTCTGGGGACCTGGAACCGAATCCCCTGAGGCCCTCAGTTTCCTCCTCTGAGGATGCATGGGTTGGGACTCTAAAGGGCTCTCTAAGCTCCTTCCAGTTCTGCATCTCAGGTCGTAACGATCTTTGCCTTGGCAAGTCTGGGGGGGGGGGGGTGAGAAGTTTGAGAAAGCCTGAAGGAGCCTGGGAGAGGTCCCAGGGCAGGGGGTGGGGGTGGGAGGGGCAGGATGGACAAGAGGAATTCCCCTCCCCACCCCTCCTGGCCATCTCTGGGTCCTCTCCAGGAACGTATGATCCCAACTCAGCATCCAGGAGAGGGGCCATTTTCCTCCTGAGCCAAATACTTGAACCAGCAGACCAACCAGTCTTTCGGGGAGGAGAGGCAGCTCCCTCATTACCTGCTGGCTCTGGCAACCTTGACTTTCACTTGGTTCAGTGAAACCCACCAGCCCAGTCCAGTGGAGCAGAGAACAGGCATTCCCTCTGGCCTTTGATTCCCAGACAACTATGTCCTGGCAAGCCTAGAGTTTTGGGTCTTAATTAGGTGTCCAGGGTGTGTGATCTGGGTTGGAGAGGTCATTATGATTTCCTTCTACGGGTTCCATGACACAAGACTTCATTATTATCCACAGAAATTCCCATTTGATGAACATGGCTTCCAGTCTTACTGGGAAAGAGAAGCAGGGAAGGGTGCTGATAAGGAGTATAATACATGGAACAAATCCAAAGTGCTTTGGATGAACTGGAGGAGGAAGAGAACAACATTTTTGCCAAGGAGGAAGGGCAGAGCAGGGAAGGCTTAATGGAAGGGAGGCGCCATACCTGGCCCTAGAGCAGAAAGAGAAGGGTTCTGGAAGAGGCAGATGAGGAGGAAGGTAGTGCTCAGCATGGGGAAGGGGAGGGCATGACCACCCGCACATTCATAGAAGCAGGAGATGGCTTGTCAAGGTTGGGTGTCTGGGCTGGCATCCACATCACCCAGAATGCGGAGAGCATGAAAGAGCAGTAAGAACTCTCCAAAGACAGGCTTGAGCCAGGTCCTGAGAGACCTCAGGCATCAGTCTCAGGAGTTTATATTTGATCCTGGAGACAACAGCCGTTTGAGCAGAGAAGGGCCACAGGAAGATCTGCCTTGGGAAGGTGATTTTGGCAGCTCTGGGACAGATGGGGACACCAACACCGACGGATGGCCATGTTCACAAGGGGAGAGTTCTCTGAAACGGATAAGCCCAGCACCAGGAAGAGCCTGGCTTCCCAGGGCAGCTCATGCTCATACAGCAGCCACATGGTCTGGAGAGGCTTGGGAAATGGAAATCCACCCTGGCCCCTTCGAGGGCCATTCCTGAGGCAGTTCTGGGGAGCCACAAGCAGTCCCTCCATAACCTAGTTTGCGGTGGGTGGCCCATTCCAGTGCTTCTCTGAGGTCATCACCAGGGATGACATCACCAGTGCAGACTCTGGTCTGCAAAGCAGCCTGGCATTTGGAATATGGGCCAGGGAGAGCTGGGCAGGGGACTTCTGGGAGGGAAGTAGGGCTGAGGCATGGAAAGGCCATTGACCTTAGCTGAGAGGCCAATCCCATCCCGCCCAGGGCATAAACGAGGAAGCCACCACCTGAACATTCTACTCACCCTCCATTGCGGGGGCAAAGAAGAGGGGACTCCCTCTACAACATCACCCACAAAAGGCTACCCAACCTCTGCCTGACAGGTGAGGCCTTCCCCCATGCTGTGGTCGGATCTCCTTCGGAGGACATTTTGAGCACCCCACTTTTCTGAGAGGGTCACTCCCAAACCATAGATGTCCCGAGGAAGGGGGGCCTTCTAGAAACCATGTTGTATGAGAAAGGTTTGAAAGAACTGGGCATATGTGGCCAGAAGAATGAAAGATTTACAGGAGACATCCGTCATTCTTAAAGTATTTGGAGGGGCTTCACGTGCAGAAGGGATTACACTTGTTCTGAACGAGGGTGGAAATTATAGGAAGGTGGGTCTCTGCTCCATATAAGAAAAGACTTCCCAGCAGTGAGGCCATCCAGCAGAGAATGGGCTTCCATGCTAAGCAGTGAAGTCCCCATCATGGAGGTGTTCAAGAAAAGGTTACTTGGCTCTTCGTTGAGGCTGTTGTCAAGGGCACTGTGAATCCAGCAGTTAGATGACCCTGGAGGTCAGTGACTCTGAGTCTGTTGGTTGTAATTCACCATCAGGGGCAGGAAGCTAAATGCCTCACAAGGCTGCCCATCCCATTTTTTGCACATATAGATAGATAGATAGATAGATAGATAGATAGATAGATAGATAGATAGGTAGGTAGGTAGGTAGGTAGGTAGCACAGACAGCTAGAACAAAGCATTTATTAAGCACTTACTATGTCCTAGGCACTACCCTCTAATTCAGAGAAAGGTCTTATTGGACAATTCACTTCACCCCTTTGGCATCAGATTCCTTATCTACAACATGAGGACTAGTTGGACAGAGGCCCCTTCCCCTCTTCCATCCAGAGATTCTGTTGAGGTGAAATCTCCCTCCACGAATTTTCCACTGTAGGGTCGCTGTTCTTCCTACCCAGCCACTCCTTTCCCCAAATGGAGAAAGCCCTTTAAATACATGCAAACCTCTCAGTCCCCCTGGCCCCACTCTCTCCCCATTACCCTCCTTCCCCTTCCACTGCCTCCCCTCCCAGCTATTTGTTCAGGCTCCACATTCTAAGTTTCTTCAGTTTATCCTCACATGATATGGCCTCACGTCCCCTCACCACCCTGGGCACTCTGCTCAGGGCAAGCTTCAGGTGGTCCATGTCTCCTATGACAGTGGCGCCCAGAATGGACCACCATAGCGAGAGGGCTCGGGGGTGAGGCCCATGGCCAGGGGGCAAGGCTTGGCCAGCAGAGTCATCTTTGGCTTGGTTTGGCCTATGACTGGGACGGACGCCTGCTTTGGTCATCCAGGTCATGGGTGCGAGTCCCCAGGGACTTGTCCAGTCTTACTCAAAGGAGCTTCGGGGGGCAGGAGGGCGCAAGATGTGGGCGGGGCCCCCTTTTCGGGAGGTTCATTGCCCCCTCCGCTCGCCCACTTCCAGGATGTAGAGGCCGAGGGAGTCCCTCCAGCGGCTGCTCAGCAGGGCAGAGAGCCCAGGAGGGTCCTCCAGAGTCAAGTGAGGAAACAGACGGGTCTCGTTCCTCAGGGAGAAGGGGCAGGCGGCCGCAGCCTCCTTGGCTGTCCCAGGGGTCACAACAAAGATCCGGCAGAGACGATCGCCCCCAGCGGCCTTGCAGACCGGGTGACTGGCGAGCTGGTCGAGGGTCTGGCAAAGGGCCCGGCTCTCGGCCCCGCCCAGGTCGATGACCTCCACGGGCGGCTCCTGCCCTCCCAGGCGGAGAAGGTAGCGCGGCGGCATGTAGGTGTGGGTAAAGAGCAGGGTGTAGTGGGAGGGCTGCCCTTGGGGAGCCGGAGCGCGGATGCTCTGCTCCAGACGGGACAGGCAAGGGACGAGGCCGCCCTGATGAAGGCAGCCGAAGAACAGGGCCCCCAGGACGTTGAAGAGAGTGAACGAGGCGATTCTCCACGGGGCCACCACCCGACCCTTCTGGCTGCTGAACAAGGTCAGGGGCCCCAGGAGGGGGACCAAGAACCGAGGCTCCTGATGGCTGAAGAGGGAGAGCAGAGCCAGGGGAAAGAAGTAGAAGAGGAGGAGGACCGCCCTCCTGTCCCGGAGGGTCCGGGGAGCCTGGCGCTGGGCCACGGCGGCTAGGCTTTCCTTCAGCACTTTCCACGCACCCATCACTGCTGCGACGTGCAGAACTCCGAAGAGCAGGAACCCGTTGACGGCCAGGTGAGTGAGGCGGGGGTGCGTGCCGTGCCGGGCCAGATTCTGGGGGTCCAGGTTGTAGCTGAGGAAGTGGGCAGGAGTCAGGACGAGGCGGGGGCCCAGCCCCAGCCGCAAGGAATAGTACCACGTATCGGTAGCCACGAACAGGGCAGCCACCAGTGTGGCCCCGGGGAGCAGCTCCAGCATTCTCTGGACCAGGGCCTTCATGCTGAGAGGCACCACCGTGGTGCAGCCGCTGGACCAGAAGAGCAGCGGCAGGAGGGCGAACCCCAGGAACGTAGGCCGGTTGAAGAACCCTGCGGCCACCACGGCGCCCAGGAGCCAGCTGTGTCCCCCACGCCCTGGACTCAGCTTCCCGTGGGTGCCCGGAGAGACCAGCACCAACAGCCACATGAACAGAAGCCCCTCCGTAGCGTTGGCCAGGGTCCTCGTGTAGAAGACCAGGGTGACATAGGAACCGGCCAGCAGGAGCAGGGCGTGCCAGGGATCAGCTCCCCAGAGCGGGGCCGCCCGGTGGATGCCCCAGTCCAGCGCAAAGGAGAGGGCTGTGAAGACCAGGCGGGGCCCCACCAGGAGAGTGTAGCTGCTGATGGCCCCTGGCCAGAGGCCCAGCCTGTCCAATAGCTCCATCAGCCAGAACACAGAGCCAGTGGTCAGCAGTGGGAAGAGGACTGTCCGGCAGGGTGAGCTGGGGAGGAATTCCCAGGGACGGTAGACCTCCAGGCCCAGGACATCTTCTGGCAAAGGAATGAGAGGCAAGAGGTGATTGGAGGAAAGACCCAGAGCAAATACCAGGGAGGCCTGGGTTCAAATCCTGCCTTTATGGGAGGAGACCTAGCTGTTTTAGCAGGAACAGGAAAGGGGGTGTTAAGGAGCCTCTGGCAGGTCCATAGCTCCCAGGTGATCCCAGGCTTCCCTCCTTGAGGCCTGCCTTGCTCTCCAGGCCCTCCCTCATCTCGACCTGGGAGTGTTCTGGGTCTCCCCTGCCTCTTGTGCCGCTGGCTCGGCTGGGGACAAAACCCCTTCTTTCTCTGAGGTCACTTGAGACCCCAGCTGAGTCTTGCAAACAAGGCTTTCAGAAACCCCATTCAACACAGTGACTATTTTGGTCCTAGAGGACCGGGGACAAAATACACCTCCCTCTTCCCCAGGGAAGGTGAACTCTGGCTCAGTCGCTGAGCCTGCATATTTTTCCTTGCTATAAGGAAGGTTTCAGTGGAAGAGTCAGGGGGTCAGGAAGAAAAGGCAGTGAGAAAGAGTTGTTCAAGGAGTTTCCTGAAAACAAAACTCAGAGCAAACACAAAAGACAGTCAACCTTGGGTCCAGATGCCTGATGCAGGCATGCACCTCCTTTTGGTGGAGAGCTCCTCTCATGGACCCAGGGGAACAATCACTGGGGGGATTGGACCAGTCATTGGTTTTAGTCACTCCCTCCACCAAAACCTACATGCCCTCATTCAGTAACTTCAGCCTCCAAGAGTCACCTGGGGTTAACCTCAAAGGACGCATCATTACCTTACATTTACGGGGCATAGATTTTGTACAGACTAATTCATTTACGCATTGTTTTCCTCCATCATGTGAAACGATAGCTGTAAAACTCTTAGCACAGTGCAGGCACACAGCAGGTGCTTAATAAACACATGCTCCCATGTCCCTTTCCCTCCCTTGACAGATGTAAGCTTCTCGAGGGCAGTGTCCCCAGTATCTAGCAATGTCTGGCACACCATCGGCAGTGAATAAATGAATAATCATAAATAACAGTAGCCAACATTTCCAGAGCACATTATGACCCTGCCCTCGAGGGGCTTCTGTTCTAGCAGGGGAATCCACACATCTGTCTAGAAGGAGGATATAATGAACGTGAGGTCTGGGTCAGAGTCCCCGGCCGGGTCTGGCCTTCGCCTGTTCCAGCTGTTTGCTCTGGCTGGTCGCCAAAAGGCCGCTTCTCGCTCTGGCCAAGTGGGTGTGGGGCCCTGCTGCCACGTCAGTTTGGAAAGTCTTCTAGCAGCCATTGGCAAGAAACCAGGCTCCGGAAGGCTCCTGAATGCTGTGGCCCAGAGAGATGGAGGCAGAGCCACCTGCCTTCACTACGGATGTTCAGGAATCATGAAACACCGGCGGTGGGAGCTCAGAGGCCTGCCTGGGTCCCTGGCCAGCTGGGACGTGGCCAAGGCCCAGGATTCAGGCTGCCTCCTGTACAGGGGAGTCAGTAGGCTGGTTTTTTCCCATACCCTGAGTGCCCTGAAGGCACAGAACCGTGGGAGAGGGTGCAGACATGGGACCCTACACAAGACGTTGCCTCCCACAGCCTGGAATAAGAGAGGACCAGGCTAGCCCCGCTGGTACCTGCTGTTCCTCCCTACAACTGCATCATCTCCCACCTCCAGGCATTTGCCTGGGCCATCCCTCAGGCTCTCCCACCTCGCATCCGCATCCAGACCCAACTCACACTCTGCCCTTTGAAGGAGGTCTCTCCTTGTGACTCATGCTGTTTGGCCAGTCTGGGCCCCTTCTCAGAGTCAAGTTTATCAGCTAAATCCAGAATGGAAAGAACTGCTCCCTTTCAGTTATAGGCTAGTAAAAACAAAGACATAATCGCTTTTTCCTCTCTGAGTTCTCAGCCCTCTCAAGTCCATCCACAGAGCCCGTGGAGCCCACGGCCTGGTGCTAGATCCTATGTCTGCGGACGCAGTACAGACCTTGGGCAGGCTGTCTCCATCCTTACACCAGGTGCACCTGAGGAGCTTTCTAGCCAGCGCTCCACACATTGTCTGGTATACAGTAAGCCCCTAATAAATGTTTGCTGACTGAGCGACTGACTGATGATCCCATTGATAGGTTCTTTGAGGTCACTTGGTCTAATCCTCCCATTTATCAGATGAGAAAGCTGAGGCCTGGGCAAGGAAAAGGAGACATGCCTAATGGTCTGTGACTCAAACTCAGGCCTCCTGAGGCCAGTGAGAGCCTAGGAGATGTCCTCCCTCATGTCAGGACCATGTCTGGACACTTCTGTTTGAGGGACAGCTCAGAACCCGGGCTGCATGAGCTTTGGTTACACATGTCCACATATATATGTACCTTTACGCATGAGCCTTGGCCATGTGAGTCCACATGTGTCTGTGGCACCCCTCCATGCATGTGACTACATGGGCCCTGGTTTGCATGTGTCCATGTGTGTGGGGTGCCCCTCCATGCATGTAAAACCTAGCTTACACATGCCCCCACACACATGTGTGGGTATCCCTCCATGCATGTGGCCACATGAACCCTGGTCACATGTATCCACATGCATGTGTGTGGGTGCCCCTCCCTGCATGGGACCACAGGAACCCTGGTTTACATGTGTCCACATATGTGTGGATGCCCCTCCATGCATGTAAACAGTAGTTTACACGTGTCCACACATGTGTGTGGGTGTCCCTCCATGCATGGGACCACATGGGTTCCCACCCCCCTCCATTCAGAGCTCAGTTCAAAGGCACCTCCTTCAAGAGACTTTCCCTGATTCCTCCTCTCTCACCAAATGACTCTGTGGTTTCGAATATGGCCTTTATCCACATATCTGTGACGTGCTGGAGGGAAGCTCTTCAAGGGCAAAGATCATATTCTTGGTTGGTTTTTGTTTTTGTGTGTGCAGCACACAGTAGGCACTTTAAAAATGACTGCTGACAGAGTGATGTGTAACTCCCACATATGATCCTTATCTGTTTCCATCCTCTCCACAGATGGTGTTTGAATTTATGGCAAAGTGTGGCCCAGGCGTGCATGTGAGGGGCAGTGCAAAAGAATGTTTTCTTGCTATGCAATAGCATTAAATTCCTTTGCTCTGACTAGGAGAGAAAGGAATAGCTTACCTGTCAGATCTATGGAGAAGGGAAGAATTTATGACCAATGAGAGATAGAGAACATTGAAAAATGGAAAATGGATGATTTTGAAAGTTTTTGCACAAACAAAGCCAATGCAACTAAGATTAGGAGGGAAGCGGAAAGCTCAGAAACAATTTTTACAGCCAGTGTCTCTGATAAAGGCCTCATCTCTAAAATATGTAGAGAACTAAGTCAAATTTATAAGACTGCAAGTGATTCCCCAATTGATAAATGGTCAAAGGATATGAACAGCAGTTTTGAGATGAAGAAATTAAAGCTACCTATAGTCATATGAAAAAATGCTTTAAATCAGTATTGATTAGAGAAATGCAAATCAAAACAACTCTGAGGTACCACATCACACCTATCAGATTGGCCAACATGACAAAACAGGAAAATGATAAATGTTGGAGAAGATGTGGGAAAATTGGAACACTAATACGTTGTTGGTAGAGTTATGAAATGATCCAACCATTTTGGAGAGCAATTTGGAACTATGTCCAAAGGGCTATAAAAATGTACATACCCTTTGACCCAACAATAGCCCTTCTAGGTCTGTATCCCAAAGAGATTGTAAAAATGGGAAAAGGACCTACATGTACAAAAATATTTTTTGTGGTGGCCAAGAATTGGAAATTGAGGGAATGCCCATCCGTTGGGGAATGGCTGAACAAGCTGTGGCATAGGAATGTAATGGAATACTATCGTGTTATAAGAAATGATGAGCAGGCTGACTTCAGAAAAACCTGGAAAGACTCGTATGGACTGATGCTGAGTGAAGTGAGCAGACCCAGGAGAACATTGCACACAGTAACAGCCACATTGTGCGATGACTGACTTTGATAGACTTGGCTAATCTCGGCAATGCAAGGATCTAAGACATCTCCAAAAGTCTCATGATGCAAAATGCTGTCCACATCCAGAGAAAGAACCGTGGAGTCTGAAGGCAGGTGGAAGCAGACTATTGGCTCTCTTTTGTTGTTGTTGTTTTGTTTTGTTTCTTCTTTTTCATGGTTCCTCCCCTTAGTTCTAATTCTTCTTTACCTCGTGACTAATGTGAAAATATATTTAATATGAATCTATAAGTACAGTCTATATCAGATTGTATGCCATTCTGGGGAGGGATGAGGAGGAAGGGGAGAAAATTTAAAACTCAAAATCTTATGCAAGTGAATGTAGAAAACTAAAAATAAATAAAGTAATAATTTTTTAAAATTCCTTTGCTCTGAATAAAATGTGCCTTCTGGCTGACTGGTAAAAGGAAACACACCAGGAGGGCTTCGTGAACTATGGTTTTTGAATGAATATAGACTCACAGAGGGCTTTGAACCTGAGATTTCTTCAGCACTTCATAAATGCTCCTTGTTTGCTTGCTTGATTATTTTTTTAAAACATCAATAAAATTGCTTTTGTGTTTTTTTAACAATGGAGAGGAAAAAAAATGATCAGCCACTTTATGGCAAAGGATTTTACCTGCCATGACCTCAGGGGACTGAAAGAATTCATCAGGATGAAGGTAACCAGTCTGCGGCAAAAGACACCAGGCGATGCGCAGGAGTACAAGGCTTCCCCAAAGCACCTGGGTGGCCCACATCCCCAGCACCTCCGGACACAGAAGAACAGAGCCAAGCCAGGCCAGGGCCGGCTCTCCGTCTGGGTACCTGAATGAAGAGGGAATTAAAAAATGAAAAAAACTCCATCTCTAGCAATGACGTTAAAGATGAGAAAGCCCAGCTTTCTTTTGTCCCTTGGGACCTCTCTCTCCGTCACTGGGTGACTCACGTGCATGTCATCCATGGGGGAGAAGGCCCCTCTGGCTGCGGGAGAAGCTGGGCCAGGAGGGTCTGTGGGAAGGTTAGCCGGTGCCAGTCTACGTGCCCGCTGGTCTCTGGGGTTCCCTAGGCTCTCTTATCTGCTAACGGCTGGTCTGGGACTCTTCACGTCTGTGACCCTTGGAATCTCACTTCCTTCTTGGACACTCTTGACGCAGTTCCCCTCCAAGGAGAGGGAGGGAGGGTGCCCACGCCTCCTCCCCTGCCTCTCCAATTCCCTGTGACCTTGGGAAGGCGTTTCACTTTCTGGTCTCTAGCTACTCACCTGGGAAAAGATGGGGCTGGATTAGACCCTGAGGTCTCTTTCTGCTGCCGACTTCCACCGGCTAACCCGGTCCTGAAGGCTCTCTGTGGACAGACTGTCCCGACTCACATCCCTTCCCTGCCCAACTGGCCTCTGGTCATGGAGTTCTTTCTCTGTGCTGAGATTTTAACCCTGTGGTCCCTTGTCTGGGATTCTGCATCACCACCTACACTCCCCCTGTATCCCTCCCCTCCTCTCCCACAGAGCCAGCCCTTGGCACAAAGAATTCTTATGGAAACTGTTCTTAATTTGTCAAAGCAAAGGGATAACTTTCGTCTTTTAAGATTCTAATGCAGTGTTTTTTTTTAATGCAGATGCCAAGCACTTCCAAATGCTTGTGAACAGCTCTATGCCCATAGTCATGAGAGGTTCACATTTCCTTTTGGCATCTACTCCACATGTGAATATGGAATGGAACCTCAGTTTCTCATCTGTATAATGAATCTGTTTGTTTAGACCCAAGGGTCCTGAGTGATTTTTTTTTTTTTTGTGAGGCAGTTGGGGTTAAGTGGCTTGCCCAGAGTCACACACAGCTGCCCCTCTGGGTGATTCTTTGCACCACATGTGTGACAGTCTAGACACAGCCCAATTCAAGTCAACTCCCCCAACAATGATCAGGGAGAAGCCTGGTGAGACCCTGGACTGGGGGTTGGGGCCACAGAAATTTTAAGACAGACAGAGAAGTAGAGTTCTAGGTAGGGAAGCAGAGGTCAGACCCTCAGAAGGAGAAAAACCCTGGAAGTTAGAAAGAGGGCTTCCCAGAGGAGGTGGTTACTGAGCCTGAAACTTCTGAAGCAGGGAGGCGGTAAAGTGATGGCCAGGCATGGGGGACAGCCTGGGCAAAGGCATGGTGGAGGAGGGAAGGGGAACACTGCCAGGGCAGGGAAGAACTACAGATGGTCCAGCTGAGCTGGATGCAGATGCAGCTGTGAGCTGAAGCTGGCGCCAGCTCTTGGGGCCTTAAACGCCAAGCTGAGAAGCCCCTTTGGGGGAGGGGATGGTCAGATTCTGTGGATGCCTGTATAGGGGTCCAGGGAGGCACCTCTCTAAGGACTGGTGAAGGGGAAGACCCGAGCAAGGGAATTTAGGGCCAGGGACCCTGCCCCTCAATTTAGAGAGGAGGAAACTGAGGCCCAGAGAAAGGAAGTAACTGGCCAGGTCTCGAACCCCCCTCCGCCACTGTGCGTCACCATCTGACACTCAGAGGTCAAGAGACTTACCCCAGATCACGCAGCATCAGGGGGCAGAAAGCCCGTGGCCTGCACTGCCCCCCGCCCCGCGGCTTCAGAGGAATAGCCTCGCTGCTTGATTCTGAGCTGGGTTTCTGGCACCTTCTGGTCCTACTGGCTTCCTGGCCCTCTCTCAGGGGTTTGGGAAACCAGCAGCTTCACCCTGGTTAGCCCTGATTATCCCAGGAGAGGTGGGGAGGGAGCATCCCAGAAAGAAATGAAAGGCTAGTAACGGTGCAGAAGGGCAGCTCGGTGGCAGGGCAGCTAAACCCCGGCCCCAAGTCAGCAATGCTCCTATTTGGGAGTTCAAATCACGCCCCAGACACTAGCTGCGCTACCCTGGGCGAGTCACTTCCCCCGTTTGCCTCAAGTTCCTCATCTGTAAAATGAGGTCCTTTCTAGGCCCAGATCTGACTGGCTGAAATGTGACCTATATTGCTATTTATTAAGGAGCCCGGTACCTAGTCTTGCCATTTTCACTGTATTAATTAATTTGCAAACGCTTCTTAAATAAGGCCAGGCACCAGTGATAGGTCCGGGCATTGCAAAGAAGTTCCTGCCCTCCTGGGCTTTCCGGTTCTGTGGGGGAAGAAGGGATATCCATTCGCACGCTTTTTTTAGCAGGTTAGGGCCGGTCGGAGGGGGGTTTGACACGCCTAGCAGAGGAGCTGTATTTCATCCTAGATGTCACTGAGAGAAGGAAGCCTGCCCAGGAGAAGCAGCACAGGATTTGGGGGCGGGGGACCTGGCTTGGCATCCCAGCTCCGTCAACTACTTGTTTGCCCTCTCTCTCTCTCTCGGTGACTGTTTCCCCATTTGCAAAAGGAAGGGATGGCCATGGAGGTTCCTTGTGAATTCCACGCAAGAAGTGTTTATTTATTGAGGCCTACCCCGGGGCAGGCGGTGGGGATTCCGGATACGGCCGTCTGCCCTCAGGGAGCTTCCAGGCCAACTCACAGACCTGGGGAGTTCCAGACACTTGCCCCTCCCGCCAGGCAGGGAAGGAGGGGCGGGCCCAGATCTAAGGGGCGGGGTAGCCATTCACCCTTATCCAATCACAGCTACGCCCCGCCCATTTCATGCAAACGAGAGATTGAGGGCTGGCGGCCCTCCCTCGGGGAGAGCCTTTCCCCCCACAGCGAAGACGTGACCTAATGAGTGGGAGCGGAGGAGACGGTTAAGAAAACGTGCCAGTCCTCCCGGGCCACCGAGAGGAGACGCTGGGGAGGAAGGATAGGTAACCATAGAAACCTCTGCCGCGAGCCCCGAGCGCGCACGTGCGTCAGCGGGGCGGGTGGGGGAGCGAGGAGGGGAGCCCGATGTCTGGAGTCTGCGCAGTGCGTTCCCAAGCATCCTCCCAGCGCAGAGCCCGGGCAGCCCAGGGTCATATTTTTCCAGCCCAAGGAATTCCTAACTGCAGACCCCGCCCCCCCAAAAAAACTGTGGAGTAGCAGCAGATTGGGCTTGGCTAAAGCTGAAATGGGCTTTAGGCGTCCGCTGGACCAAGCCCCCTGATTTTACATCTGGGGACACTGAGGCAGGCAGTGCGATCCACTAGGTAAGAGGATCCAGGCTCAGCCACTTGCTACTTCTGTGACCTTGGGCAAGCCCCCTCGACGCCTCTGGGCCTCAGTTTCCTTTTCTGTAACCTGTGGGTGTCTTCCTCAGTGGAGAGCTGCGAGTGTGGAATGTTGCACGTGTAGCCAGATGGTGTCACAGTGTGCATTCGTTTTGCAGAACTTTTCCTTGGTGATGGAAAGGCTGGGGAGGGGTGGGGGAAGGTGGCATATCCACAAGTGACTGTGATGGGGAAGCATTTCCCTGTACGAGGAGGGGGTTGGCTTGGGTGATCTCCGGGGTCCCCATTCTATGGGGTAAGTCTGAAGGACTGAGGTTGGCATGCTGCCTTCACGCCCCCGGGGTCCTTGGACACGTTGGGCGGCAGCAGGATGTAGGGAATGGCTCGGACTGGGAGTCTGTGTCGCCTCTGGGAGGACTGAGTAAAACAGGGGGCCAGGACGGACTTGGAGTTGGTCTGCAAGTGCTATGGCTGGGGCCTTGGGCAGATCGTTCAGTATCTCCTCTGTAAAATGAAAGGGTCAGGCTAGATGCTTCCTGAGGACCTCGGCTCTTACTTTATTTAGAAAGCAGAGGTCCTGCCGTGTGAGTGCTTCCCCTTCTCTTCGTCTCAGACCCTTGATATCTTCTCCTCTTTCCTTCTTTCCCCATCTCTGGCAAAGAGGCAGCCCTCATCCTTGCTAAAGCCAGCCTTTCCACATGTGCCCTCCAGCCCCCTCCAGCGGATGCCCCCTTTATCATCCCCTCCCCCTCCATCTTTTTCCAATCTACTGTCTCCTTCCCTCCTGCCTTCAAATATGCTTGGAGTCCTGCCCAACCTTGAAAAACTATCAATAGACCCTCCTCAATAGACCCTACATCAACAGATCCTCCCATCTCCTCAAGCCATTGTCATATATGTCTCCAAGCCAAAATCTTTGAAAAAGCTAAATACGATCCCTGCCTTCTGATGCTGTCTTCTCACTCCTCGCCTTTGCAGTCTGGCTTCTGAACTAACCCTTCAACTGAAACTTCCCCCTCCAAAATGACCGATGGTTTCAAACTGGATAGACTCTTCCTAGTCCTCATCCTTCCCAACGTCCACTGCATGGGACACTGTTGATTCACCCTCCTCCCAAAGGGTCTGCGTGGCCCTGTGGTCCTTCCCCCTCTGACCACTTCTCACTCTCCTCTGCAGCCTTATCATCTAGATCAGAGCCCCTAATTGTGGTTTTTTCCAAGGGTCTGGCCTAGGCCCTCTTTTCTCCCTCTGCACACTCTTGCAGATCTCATCAGCTCCCATGGATTTAGGTATCATCTCTGTGCAGATGACCCCCAGATCTATAGACCCAGTCCCAGTCTGTCCCCTGAGCTTCAGTCTGACATCACCAACCCGCCTTGCTGGACATCTCAAACTGGATGTCCTAGAGACAGCTTGAAACTCTGCATGTCCAAAGTGGAACTCATCTTTCCCCCAAGTCATTCCCTCTTTGAAATATCCCTGTTTCTGTTGAAGGTACAACTGTCCCTCCCATCTTTGAGGTGTGTAACCTCAAGATATCCCAGATTCCTCCCTCTCCCTCACCCCACAGATCCAGTCACTTGTCAAGCCCTCCTTTCCATGACAACATTTACCACATCCTTTCTCTCTTCTCACACAACAACTACTTTAGTCTGGGCCTCCTCCTCTCTTGTCTGCATCATTGCAGCAGTCTCCTCATTGGCGCTCCTGTCCCAAGTCTCTCCTCCCTGCTAAGTCATGTTCCTCAAGCACACTCTGATTATATATATATATATATATATATATATATACACACACACACACACATATATATATATATACATACACACATATATATATATACATACACACATATATATATATACATACACACACACACACACACACACACACATACACACATACATATCCCTACTCATCCATCTCCAGGGGTCTTTCTATTTGCTCTAGGATCAAGGATGATCTCTTCTGTTGAGCTATTAAAGCCCATCCCTACCCAACCTACCTTCCAAACCTGAGAAGGCAGTGTTCCCTGCTCTGAGCTCTGTTATTCAGCCCAACTGACCTCATTTCTGTTCTTCACATACCACACTCCACCTCCCATCTCCTGGTCTTTGTACCGGCCATTCCCCAAGCCTGGAATGTTCCTCCCTCCTCAACTACACCTAAAGACACAGCTCAGCCACCATCTTCTACAAGAAGTCTTTCCTGATCCCCCCAAATGCTAGATCCCTGCCCTGAACAACATTATTTTAACTACTTTGTATATATTTATTTCATATTTATAATGAACATACTTATAGATTTGTATTTGTTATTTCCATATGTGCCTGTAAGTTCCTTGCCAGTAAGGATCATTTCCCACTTTGCACACTAGTCCCCAAAGCTTAGCACATAGTAAGCTTTTAATAAATACCTGCTGACTGATTATTCCGAGAGCCCTTCTAACTATGATCCTGACAAAGTCTCTTCTCACCAATGGGCCTGGGTTTCCTCTTCTCCGAAATGGAAATAATTCTACTCTCTACCTGAGAGGGCTATTGGGAGGAAAGTGCTTTGTGAACCTTCCAGCATGGCAGAAATGGGAGTTATCTGTGCACACTGTCCTAGAAAGAGCTGCCAGAGTGAGGGAAAGCTATGGCCTGGGAATGCAGTTGGACGTGGCCATTGTGGGAGCTTGGCAAGAGGAAGAGATTCAGAATCAGATGGCTGAATTAGAACCTCAACTTGGCTACTCACTGCCTGGGTGGGCAAGCCACGGCATTGCTTCTACCTCTAAAAAGCAATCAGTCCACATTAGCTAATAGATGGAAAAGTTATTTTTAAGTACAACTGCTATTCTCTAGTCTGTCCTAATACTGGATATTGTTATTTATCATAATACTAATTATATCACAAATTATATTATGGTATATAATGCTTTATTAGGCATTTTGAAATTACATATAATTTATAATTATATTGTATTATATAAATATTAAATGATATAATATATCATTATTATTTAAGGGAATAGCAAAATCTGTTCTCCTGTCTCAGAGACACATATTGGACTCACGTTTATTCCTGTGTCTGTTCTGCCCAAACATGATTGCTAAGCTAGCTGAAAATGCTTCTCTTGGGACAGGGCTGCATGATAAAAACAGGGCACTAGATTGGACCCTGAATGATGTCAACAGCTCCTAGCTCTCACTAGCAGTGTAGGCCCAGGGTTTCCTCCAGATCTGTGGGGAAATGGAGAAGTTTCATCTCAAGAGAGTTGCATCAACCATATAAATTCCTCTACCTCAGTGAAGAGACATTTATGCTAACTTGATAATGGCATTCAAAATCTCCCAAGGCTAACAATGCTTTGGGGATATTCATTCTGTCTTCATATGCCATTTAGCCATTTATTGCCTGGAGCTAAAGACCATGAATACAGAATCTGTAACTGGAAAGGACTTTAGAATCTGTTCCACTTGTATTTTTAAACCAAGAGAATGAAAATATGCTCTAGACAATAAAGCATTTGGGCACCTTGAGGCCCATCGGTTGGGCGAGAAGAAGGGGCCTGTCCCTGTGGTTTGGTAGCATCCTGAGGGCCCTCTCTTCCACATCCACAAACAGGGAACCACCACAGGCCAGCATAATGCAGATGTCTATTCTTGGTACCCAAGTGTAGACGTCTCTTAGTGTCTCCTACACTAGTGAGCAAAAGGCAACCCAGAAACCATTCCTGACTTCACTGGTTCTGTGTGCTTGAAATCACACTGCTCCTAACTCAAGAGGGAAAGGGATGAGGCTATGCTCTCCCACCTTCATGGCCCTTCTGCCAGCACTGCACGTGAAAATGCAAGCCCATCACCTTGGAGATAGCGCCCCACTCACCAGCCGGGGAGAAGCATCTGCAGTCAGATGGCAGAGATTTTTAGCGAAGCGGAGCAGGAGGGGAGGGCCTGGCCACCAACGCGCATTGCAGCATAACTATGCATTGGACCCCGCCACTAAAAGTAGCGGGTGTTGCCCTGAGATGAGACAGGTGCAAGTAGAAAGTGGCAGAGTAGGTTTTCAGAAATGAACGAAAGAAGAGCAAAATGCTCTTTTTATTCACAGAAACAAGAGTTCCCTTTGGATGAAGCATCCAGGAAGGTTTCATGGAGGAAAAGGGAGATCTTTTGATTTGCTGATGGGTTGTATGGTGAGGTAGGATGAGTAGCTGTTTGAACTTTCTCAGAATCACAGATTTAGAGCTGGGAGGGACCCTAGAGGTCATGGGGTTCTACCCCCTTCTTGTGGGCCCAGAGTCTGTTCTGCCCCTCCCCTGGCTTCCCAGACCAACTCTCCTTGGATTGCAGCAGATGTCCAAATGACATTAACGTACAGGTGAGATAAGGGCCCATCTCTGCCACACAGAGAACAGATTGTTGGCTTTTCTGTTCCTCGCCTTTTTCTCTCTAACAGGATACCTGCTCTGCCAGGCTCAACTTTTAATAACGTTCACAATTGTTTTGAGATTTCTGGGACTAGCAGAGATTCGCAACCCTGCCAGGCTCACAGGATTTTGAGTTGCTGGGGACCTCGACCCCATTATTTTACAGATATGGAACTGAGGCCCCAAGGCTTCAGTGACTCACCCAAGGTCGTACAGGTAGTATAGAGTCCCAAGGAAAACTTAGTCACCGTCATGGAGTGGTGAATGAGAAATCGAGTGAAAAGCTTTGCGGACCTTGCCCATTTTAATCCAGAGCGGAGATTCTTACTTAAAATGGAACAACCTACCTCTTCGGGCGCTAGCCACTTCTTTGGTGAGTCGGTTTCTTTGTCTTTTTTTTTTTTATTGGATCTGTCTTCAGCACTCTTCAGTTTGACTCCTGAGCTTTGGGCTTAAGGTCTCCAGCTGGAATTTTCAGTGAGAGCGGCTTCATCCCATTGGTTCCCTGGAGTGTCCCTGCTGACAAAATCGAATGGGATAAAAAACTTATTCCCCCCAGCGCGTCCCTCCCTTCGGCCCTTCCCCCAGCACTGCGCGTGAAAATGCAAGCCCATCACCTTGGAGATAGCGCCCCACTCACCAGCCGGGGAGAAGCATCTGCAGTCGGATGGCAGAGATTTTTTAGCAGAGCGGAGCAGGAGGGGAGGGCCTGGCCACCAACGCGCATTGCAGCATCCTAATGGATGTTACCTAGCACAGAGAGAACCTGGCAAGGCTCGGCTGCCAGGGGGAAGGAGGGGGCTATTTAAAGAAACACCGCCCAGAACCTAATGATGGGGGAAGGGGATCAATAGAGTAATGCCACAGAATGGAAGGAAGTGAGGAGTAGATGGAAGGGGGGGTGACAGATATGAAGAATTAATGGAGCATCTCCTGACAGAGATTTCAAGGCACTAAAATGTTGAGAGAAGAGAAGCCGCCTCCATCTTCTTAGGAAATTAGATTAGAGGGAAAGAGAAGAGGAGAAGAGGGAAATTGGATAAGTCTGTTGTCAAAATCGAGCATTTCTTCAAAGCGTATCCTGTGCCTCAGGAGACCCCGGGGATCAGAATAATTTGCTCTGTTCTCCTTTCTCCAGCCTGGAAAGAAGCCAGCAGCTGCCACCGCATCCTCATCCTCTGCCCTTTTAATCAATGGCCTTTAAATATTTCTGCCAGCCGAGGTTCTCCCTTGGTGTCTCGTTAGCAGTCAGACATCTGCCATCTGTTTCCCCCCAATCTTGTGCTCTCACAAACTGCTCTTTTTTTGATTTTTACCCTAGTGCAACCCTTCCCATCCACCCAGGCCCTTCTGATTCTCAGCAGCTTCTCCAGCCTCTGTTCTCCTCATGGACATTTTCAGATCCACCTCTTCAACCATTTGTAGCAGCGTGGGCCTACATCCATAGGAGCTTAGGCATTAAGGCCCTTCTGTCTGCACGGGGCTGAAAGGAAGCCTGGGGGCCCCAGTACCAGGAGAGATTCCAGGTCAATGACCGTGCAAGAGGGAGGGTACAGCGTGGGCCTTCATGTGGGAAAGGACAGAATCATGCTGAGAGAAGGTCCTAGATTGAGGGTGGGTTGGGACCACGCAGACACCCAGTGTGAATTATGTAGAGGGACTGGGGAGGCTGCATAGAGGGCCGAGGATAGATCCCAGATAGATTCCTGCCTACACTGCGGCCAGGGTCATCATGGCCTCAGGAACCATGGACCCAGGAGGCAGGGGCTTCATTGTGTAGATATTGGGAATTGACGGGGCCCAAGAGCAAAACCTGTAGACAAGCAAAACGGAGCTTTCTGTTGCTTTTCAAAGGCTTAGGTGTGAGTTATTTGTGTGTTCATCATTGCCTTAAATAAACTTATTCGATGTTTAATGCTTTTGTTAGCCTGAGTGCTTGCAGGAGAACTCAGGGTCCTTTGACACAAGTCAGATTCTGATGTTCCCAAGTGTGAGAAATGATTCTCTAAGACCCCTACTTTATTCTAATCAGGATTAGTCAGTTTTATATTTTACATAAGATAATTAGATAAGATAGGTTCTTATAGTAGGCCTTTATAATGGGCCTCAAACTTTAATGTAACATTCACTACTTGTTTACCAGTTATGAAGCTCACTTACACAGTCACAGGAATGCTGACAAAGACATCTCCGTCCTGTTTTACTCACTCCCCTTGCTGTCTGTACCCAAATTCTCTGAGCCTGACGTAAGTCCCCCATTGGGACAAGGGTGGCCTCCCTCTCTGGGGATGATGAAACAAAGAGCTACTAAGCTATGTAAAGTTTGGTTTGAGAATATAAAGTGTTTAGGAACCCTTTATCTGTTACCTTTTTTTAGAGTTATTGTCATTCTGCATCTTGAGAAACTTCCCACCAACAAACTGGCCTTTCTTCAGCCAGCTTTAACCAGCTCTTCTATCTAGGAACTTGTTGTACTGAGTGGGTCATTTTTGGAATTTATTTGCCTATCACTTACAAAAACTATGTGATTGTAACTAATTCTCATTGCCCAAAAGCCCTTAAAGAAATGCATATGAACTGTGCATTTGTAACCACTAAAGAACCATAAAGAGGTTTACCAGAGGAATGAAGCAAATAGAAGAAAAAAAGAGTAGTGTTGGATAAAGAAATGAGAAAAGTTAAGAATGAGAAGAAGGATAAAGAAAATTGGAGTCACTGATACAGCGTAAATTCTGCGTTTAAGAGAAAGGGTTCTGGAGTTTTGAAAAGGAGATTTCAGAGAGGGCTGTAGTCCCACTGAAGTAGAAAAGATTTAGGCTTTTTTTTTTTTTAAGCAATGTCCTTTTGACAGTTGCTACACTCCCCAAGCATTGTAACATCATAAAACAAGTAGGAATTTAACAAATACTATTAACTGATTGCTAGAGAAAAGAATATCTCTTTGCTCTGGTTTAAATAGTTATGCTAAAGGATTAGTAATTTAGAAAATTTAAAGGAACTGATTTGGGTCTTTGGGTACTTCAAAGGAATAAAAAAGCAGTAATGAGAAGCTGAGAGTGTCACCAAGAATTTTTGAACTAGAGCTAACTAAAAACAATGGACCCCTTGTTTAAAAAAAATGAGATTTAAGTACCATGCATAATGATTACAAATCAATAATTGATTGGGTTGAAAATTTTGTTGTAAATGAGAAGAATCTAATCAGTCCTTGTATGTACGAAGGGGATAATAAATATTTATACCTGTCTCCCTGGGTTGTTGGGACAAAGACAATTGGGAGGGTCTTAACACAGTTAACACAGTGACTTGTTTAAAGGATGAGCACTGTGATATTCAGGCCTTGTAGGATGCAGTTGAACAAAAGACAATCCCATTTAGAAGTACTTTTTCTAATAGGCATGCAATGTTGACAAAATGGAGAAACATAGACTAAACATTTTAAAGATTTCTAAAAACAGACTTCAGCAACTTTCAAGATGTAGGAAAAGCCTACCAAGAGGTAGGCGCTGCGTAAATAAACTACCATGAGTAGCGTGAAAATGCCAGGGGTAATAAGATAAATGACTTTCAATGAATTGGTAAGTATGAAAAGTATTTAACTCAATCATTATCACCTGATCAGCGGTGTTTTCAGTGCAAAACAGCTAAGAGAAGCTGGTGAAACAAGTTTCTTCTTCTTTTCAATCTGAATACTGTTACATTATAAATATGTCTGTTAGATGATTATTACACTATATTTTGTTTTAAAAAACCAGAAAATAATAATAGTAGTAAATGACTTACTGTTGGGAGAGAAGCATGGTGAAGTCCTGGGAAGAAATCTTTGTCTGTGAGATTCCTTGGGATGAGCCCCGTGACAGGGTGCTGGGCAAGTCAACGGCACTACCCTTTGAGGAAGTAGGGCCTCTTCCACCCAAATGCAGAAATGACACTTCTGAATAAGTGGGTGTCATCTGAGATCATTTGGAAACTCAGGTAATTGTATCTTTTAATGTTATCATTTTGAACCAACTATTCACTGTGTATGAACTCGTGGTGAAGAAGTGGAGACAGCAACAGTCTGAGGCTGAACAGGTCTCTTGGGCCTGGGTGACTGAGGGAGGTAAGCCACTCCTCCCCCGTCTACTTGTTCAGTTCGTAAGGGCAGCATTTGAGGGATAATAGAGTCACCTAATCCAGACACCACCCCAGCGGCAACGTGCATGACAACCACTTGTCCAACTTGCGTAGCTTTGAATCGGCTTATGTTTCAAGTCATGTCCACTGGTGGCCATCTGCTAGCTTGCATCTCCATTTGAGCACGTATAGAAAAAGACAGTTATTGTACCCAAGTCAGTCCTTGGCCAAGGTTGAACTATTCCCTAGCTCTAAAGCCATGGCTCCCTCTGATATCATAGCTTTCACCAAGGAAATTGTGCCCAGATATGACCGAAGTATCTACATGGACTCTGATGAGGGGCTCTCATCTCACTGTATTCTAGAAATGGCTTCATTTGAAGACCAATGTGGTTGGTAGGGGGAAGATGATGGTTGTGAATAGATGAAATTTGAACGTAGTTGATGGGTGAGGGTCAAGGCTACCCTCAAGGAGTTTCTTCCACCAACTCGATGCAGCTCAGAGGTGAAAGGTAGGCCAGCGAGTTGGGGGGAATCCCAGAGGGTGGGCAGTTGTGGGACTCCAGCTCTCACCTTACTTAGATTTCTTATCAATGGCCTCTTGGCCAGTTGGCTGAAGAAAGGCCAGGTTGTTGGTGGGAAGTTTCTTAAGATGCAGAATGATGATAACTCTAGAAACATTTATACAGCACTTGAAGTTTTCTAAAACCCTGCATGTGAGTTATTTCATCTGATCCTCCCCAAAGCTCCATGAGGTAGATGCTATTATTATCCCACCTTTACAAATGAGGGGATTGAGGCTCTTCGGAGGGGAAGTGATTTGCCCAGGGTCACCTAGCAAAGGCGTCTTCCTCATCAGAGACCACGTCGCCCCTCAGGGCAGGGTGATGCCATCTCCTCCTGAGATCTGTGATATGATTTGAGGGAATATCACAGTTAAAGTCTCGGGCTGCTCACCCTGTCCCCCTCTCAAAGTCTCCCAGCCCCTGACTAATGGCTGATGCCTGTTTTAGGGTATGAGACAGACTTTGCCCTTTTCCGCCCTAAAGGGGCAGCTTGGGCCTCTCTTCAGGGCAGACTATGACCCAGGCAATGGTCAGCTTCCCAATAAACACTGAACAGCTCTGGGGTTTAAGGTTCCTTCCCTTATGTGCTAATGAATTAGCCTTAATTCATGAAGCAAGTGAATGAGTAACCACCCAAAGGCTCCCCTTTCCCTCTCCATCTGCGAAGAGACCTTGGCTGTGTGCTCGCTCGGCCATCTCTGCAGCACAAAAGTTTCATCCGGGAGGTCTGAACCCCTTTTGTGCCCTAGACCTCATTGGCAGTGAGCAGGATGAAGACCATGGTCCCCTTATTTAAAAATGGAAAAAATAACTTCTAGGATTACAAGAAAGCCAATTATATGGAAAGACAATGAACAACACATTTAAAACAAAGAAAGGAAAAATGAGTTCACAGATCCCAGGTCAGGGAGCTCCTTCCCAGTCTGTATACAAGGGAACAGCAGCTAGAGCGCATTTTGTAAATAGACTGAGGACTGAAACCTAACTGTGGCGGATACAAATATGGTGGCAGAGGGCAGAGAGAGAGCTGGGACTTCAGTTCTTATGACAGCATGGATTCCAGTAAGCAGGTCTAAAGTGAAATAAGAAATCCGGTGAGAGCAGGGGCTCCCGTGGCAATTTATCCCTATGAGCAGCCCGGTCTTTGGAACCCTTGTAAGAGTTTGTTTAAGTGTGCTTCCTGTAGGTGGCAGCACTACCTCACAGGTGGACCTCTCTCCACCCTCTCTCCATCACACCAGTCCCTTAGCATAGGGAAGCGCCTTTCTTTGGCCCCTTTGCCACCAGGTGATTTTCAGGGGCCAGAAAGAGTGTGTGTGTGTGTGTGTGTGTGTGTGTGTGTGTGTGTGTGTGTCTGTGTGTCTGTGTGTCTGTGTGTCTGTGTCTACAGGCTATAGATCGCCGGACGATGACACTCCTGGAGATGGCCGCAGCTTAGGGCATTAGAGCTATGAGATGTCTCTCCCATGACTGTCCTGGGGGCTCGTCGTCATCCTTACATTTGGGCCCTCCACACATTCTCTAGTTCAATTTAGTTTACTCAGTAGAGGCGCATGCAATTTTGGGAGAGGGTGCCAGGTTCATAGGGGAAGTATTGTTTTGCTATGTTTCTCATGATTCTGTCGTATTAAATGCCTTTGTTTTGAACAGATAGTCGCTAACAGCAGATACATTGGTGGGGACTCATTGGCTCTTTTTTTTTTTAATTTAAAGCGGATTCAGAACAGCACCATACTTTGAAGCTGATGTAGCTCTCCTGGGGGCCCTAGGTATAAGAAGAGAGTGTCTCAGGTACTACATTATTATCACAACCTCCCAAAGGCTCTCCAAAGCCATTGGCCTTTTAAATGAATGAATGAAAGAATAAATAAATGAAGAGGCATTTATTGTTTACAATGTGTAAAGCACCGTGCTAGGGACATAAACAGAAAAGTAAACAGTCCCTGTTCTTACTTAAGTACTTACACTGTAATAGGGGAAGTAACACAGTTATAGGCTGCAAGTTGGATGGAAAGGACCGGTTACCCTCAAAGTAGGGAAAAGCCTATGGGAATACATCTTGAGTCTCATTTGCATGGATGAAACTATATGTGTTGATGCCCTTCATTTTAGAGATGAAGAAACTGAGGCCCGGAGAGGTAGGCAGAATTTTAACCCAGGTCTGTGGCCTCCATCAAAGTGATTGTACAGCCTCCAGGACTATCTCTCCTCACCTCCTGAGAGCAGGAGCACCCTGCCCTGCTCTCAGAAGGCTGGCACACAGAGCTGCCCCCACCCCCTGTACCCCCAGAGACACTCCCCTGAGATGATCTGGTTTGCAGAAAGCCTTCAGGACTACATTTTGTTCTATCAAGTCAAATACCTTGTATACAGTAAGAGCTTAATAAAAGCCCTCCTCCTAGTCTTCCTTTTCATAGGTAACTCTCCTCACTTCCACCTTCTGGAATCCCTAGCTTTCTTCCAAGTCCAGCTCATGGTGCATCACCTACTCCAGGCCTTTCTTGGTCCTCTCCCCTGCCCCCCCCATGCCCCCCTAAATGACTTTGTACTTATTCTGCATCTGCTTTGCACGTACTTATCTGTGTACTAGTTATCCAGCCCCAGTAAAATGTAAAACGCTGGAGGACAGGGACTGTTTCATTTGTCTTTGACTCCCCATTGCCTTGCACAGTGCCCAGAACATAGTAGGTACTTAATAAACGGGGACGACAAATTGAATTATTCCTCTTAGATACAAGAAGTAAAACAATTCTAAAGTTCAGGTCTGATCAGATTGCAGGGTAAAACAGCCATTTCAATCAACTATTGTAGTATGATGGACTTTGGGTCAGAGGGGACCTAGGTTTGAATCTTACCACCAACACTTATTAGCTGTTTGGCCATTGGGAAAAGGAGTGGCACCCTCTATTCAGTGATGAGCATTCTCCTCCCCATCATGCCTTTCACATCCCAGTGACCCTCAACTCCTACAGAGCGTCTCCAAGCCCTGTTCTACACCCCTCCATCACTCATCTCTTTATTCCCATCCTCCTCAACACCCCCACCCCAAAGTTTCAACCAAATGCCATCCAGTCCTTTTATTGTGCCCTCTGTAATACATGTTCCATGGGTGACAAGCTTCCCTTCATCTCAGATAATTCCTCTCCCACTTTTTCCATCTGACTGAAACCCCTCCAATGACCCAGCCTCCCTATCCACCCACAGAGAGTACAGAGGCAGATGGCGCAGGGACAGGTGGGAGAATCTAGTGGGAGAGGGGAGAGGGAGAAAGGCACATAGAGGGCTTAGGTGACTTGGATGGAAGCTGGCAGTGCTCCAGGGGTAGGGTTTGGGCTACCATTCTGGTTCGCTCATTGGCATATCAGTCATTTCAGAGTTATCAATCCCATCTGAAGCAGGCCTCAGCACAATGTTTCTCTGGCTTTGCTGCATATGTCTGGTACTTTACCTGCCACTTGCAAACTAAGGGTGGTTTACTGGCTTCTCTTAATTTAGCACCTAGTCTCCCGATGTGGTTTTAGTTAGTTTGGGAGCCAGTTTTGGAGAGCTGCATCTATGTTCCCCCCTCCACTCTTGGTTCCTGGCTCCTATTTACTATTACCTTACACTGGCTACTTGCATACTTCCTATACTGACTGGTCATGGTGTCATAACAAGACACAGTTGCATCACACCTCCTGTCTGGCTTCCAAATTCCACCCAAACCCTCTCTCCAAAGTTACCAATCTTCTCTTAGTTGCCAAATCCAACGGCCTTTTCTCAATCCTCATTCTCCCTGACCTCTCTGGGACATTGACACTGAGGACTGGAAATAGGAATCACACAAGAGGAATAATTAAAGCCCAAGCAGAGTTCCCAGTCCTTACAGAAGTTTGCATATTTATGGCAGCGGGACGAAGGGAGGCTGGGATACCAGGAAGGGGCATGGCATGGGAAGGGAAAAGTGCAGTAAAGGTGGGAAAGGACAAAGCTTCTCCCGATGGGGAGGAGCGAGGCCACGGCAAAAGCTTCATTCTTTTCCCTTGGAACTGCTAGCTCTGAAGACCTGAGGGTCTGTTTATCTGCAAAGCAGATACACAAGCATTTTCCCAGCCTGGCACTGAATGGCTAGTGCCAGTCTTGCCTCCCAAGCACACACAAGGAATCCAGTGTGGGGTGCACCGACAAATTATGTCAGCTCAGGGCTTTGTTCTTGGCACATTCAGAGCCTCCTTCATACTCTGGGTCCAGTGTTTCTAGAAAATATGGCAACTCAAAAAGACAGGTTCAATTGGATTTAAGGCAACAGGGTCTCTCTCTCCTCCTTGCTAGGTTTTCAGGACCCCCACCCTACCCTGCTCCTGGTCCTCCTCCCTCTCTGACCATCCACCTCTGTCTCCCTTGCTGCATTCTCCTCAAGATCAAGCCCTCTAACCATAGGTGGCCCTCTGGATTCTGTCTGGGACCTCTTCTCTTCTTCCTCTATACTACTGACCCTGGTGATCTCATCAGCTCCCATGGATTTAATGACCGTCTCTATGCTGACAGTTCTCAAATCTACCTATCCTGCCCCAAACTCTCCATTGACCGCCAATGCCACATTTTCAGTTACCTTTCAGATATCTCTAACTAGATGTCCAGTGGACATCTTAAATTCAACATGGCCAAAAACAGAACTCATTATCTTCCCCCTTAAACCATCTCTGCTTCCTACCTTCTCTATTACTATAAAGGGCCCTACCGTCCTCCCAGGCCCTCAGACTCAAAACCTAGGAGACTCCTCACTATCCCTCACTGCCCATACCTTATCTCTTATCAAGGCCTGTCCATTTCACCTTTGCACCATCTCCTGAATATACCCCCTTCTCTCCCCTGCCACTGCCCTCACCCTGGTGCAGATCCTCATCACCTCACGCCTGGACTATTACAATATCCTTCTGGGGGACTGACCTACCTCAATCCCTCCCCACTCCAATATGTCCTCCATTCAGCCACCAAAGTGTTCTTCCTGATGTATAGGTATGATCATGTCTAATCATTTACTCAGTAAACTCCAGTGGCTTCTTATCACCTCCACGTAAAATCCTCTGTTTGGCATTCAAAGCCTTTTATAACCCCGGCCCCCTCCCACCTTCCCAGTCTTTTTATATCTTACTCTCTGCAATCTACTCTTCCATCCAGTTCCCATAAACATGACACCCCATCTCCCATGCCGTCTTGTTTTAAGGCTCTAACCCTAACCCTAAATTTGTCATTCAAAATTCACAAAGCTAAACAAATGTGAAAATTGAAATAACTAAACTTTCAAATGTGGCTTTTGTCAGTTTGTGGAATTTATACTTTGGAAGTTATGGGCTCGAAACTGCAGCCAGACTTTTGGGACACCTTGCGCATGTAGCTCCTCCGTCTTGTGGGAGATAGCCAGGCTCAAATGAGGGCATATAGGTAAAATGCATTGAACTGTGAAGTGTTCTTGAAGTGTCAGCTTGCAATTTGTTGGAAGCCATTTTGGGGGTGATGGATTTTTAGCTTTTTCCAACACATGGCCTTTCTTTTGCAGGGTTGGGGGATGATGGCTTTTTGGAGATGGTGTCCAGAGAGTGGCTTCTCCCTTTCTCTCTAATGCCTCCCTGCATTCAAGGCTCCTTTCACCGTCCCCACTTCCTTTAGCACCCCTTCCCTGTGACCTCAGCGGATCCGCCTCTCAATCTCCGAGGCTCTCAGCATCTACATTACATACACTTGGGTAGTTCTACACCTCATCGGCAAGTTTTTTGGTGCGTGTACATCTCCCCGACTAGACTGTAAGCTTCTCAAGGGCAGCACCTCAAACAGCCCTGGGGAAAAAGAAAATCTTCAATTTCCTGAAGGATGATTGTTTGACTTTTCCTGCAGCTGGTGGGGCCAACCTCAGGTTCAGGTGGCCAGCAGACCTGGTGCTGAGCCCTGGCCTTCAGTTCTCTGTTATTTCCGCCTTGTATGTATTATACACCATTCTTGACAGACCTGGCACCTTGAGACCTTTGATCCCTGGAGCAGAAGATAAGGGATGTCGAGGTTAATGATTACAGGACGCTCACTCCATGGAGAGTAACATTCTGCCAGTGTGAGACAGGAACAGTGGCAACATTTTTGCCCTGTTGGCCTCCTGGAAATGATTCTCCCTGAAGGCCTCCCAGCCTCGTTTGGCCTCAACTTCCCCTTTACCCCACCCTGCACAACATCTCTTCTGACTGGGGCCCATCATGGTGCCAAAGTCTCATTAGAGGGCATTAGGCGATGTAGGCCTTCACCACATGGTGGCTATCATATTCAATTTCAGTAGCTTCCTTGGCCTGGATTCTGGGGATAGTCATCAGCAGCCTGATGAAGGAACCAGACCTCGGCTTTTGTATGAAGGGCGACCAGGAAGCTCTGTCAGCAGCTAGAGCCTCTAGTCTCCTGGACCAATTCCATGTGGAGGATGGCTTCCTTTTAAGAAAAGATCAGTCTAACCTTTGTCAAAGAAAAGTGAGTTAATACTGAACTCTATGTTGTATGTACAAATCTTCCAGAGACAGTTTTTATTTAATTTAATGTTAATCTAATATCCAGTATTTCTATCTCGAAGACGTGTGGTTTGTCCTTTGTTCTGGAAGAGGACCATGACATCAGGGAGATGATGATATGACTTGCAATTGACTTTGAGTGAGGGAGGGCTGTGCAAGGTCACCAGCCTCACTTTCTCCTCCAGAGCCATCTAGGTCCAGTGGCCAGATATTCATCAGGAGGACTGGAGATGGTCCAGGGTGCAATGGGAGACTTTGCCTCTTTCAGGCCAAGGTTTTTTCAGGTTCTCACTTTGAGTGAGGCAATGCCCATTTGGTGCATAGGCCTCTTTAAGAAGTGAGTTAAGGAATGGCCCTTTTAATTAAAAAAAAAAATCAAACTGGGAGAGGAAGACCCTCGGGGTTGCTGGCCAAAGGAGAGACAGTTATGATTTACATTCATTCTGAGCCTGGAGGGCCCAAAAAATAACCACTAAGTGGTTCTTGGGAAGGAACCTATTGTTGTCCAATCCATGTGATCCAGAGTGAATTTGGTTTAAGGCCTGGTATTTGAGGAAGAAATCTAAGCAGCAAACCCCAAGTTAACTAGGTAGCTTTCAGCCATCAAAATTTACCTTCCTTTGGGCAGAACACCCTCAGGTAAGGGAAGAGGGATGATGAGGTCTGAGAGGTTGGCACCCCTCAAAAACCAAAGTACAAGACAGGTCATCTGGAATGAATTCACAAACTCAAACAATCTTTAAGTCAAGTTGCAAAAAGTTTATCATTGCGCTTTTCAGTGGGCAAGGATTCTTAAGGAACCTGCAATCTTAAAAGAGTATAGTTAAAGTTTATATAGTATAAAATATGATAAAACGAGTCAAATATGCTAACTAGGTGATTCAGGGCGGGATTAGGGAGTGGTTAAGGAGTGGTCAGTTCTTAAAGAAACATGCACTTCTTGTATCTACTGTGCAGGCATTTTACCCAGAGTTCACTGGGAAAAGCCCACAAGGGGGGCCAGATGGAGGTGTGGTTTTAGGCCTGCTATGTCACTAAGTCAACTAGAGTTCAGGGGGAAATGAGAGTTGTCCAGCCTGCCACCAATCAGTGTCTTGTTTGACAAGACAGATGTAGGGAGTATACATATGTCTTAAGTCTAGAATACAGATAATGAGGAGTCCAGGAAGTAGATAATGAGGTAGGGCGGTAGTAGAGATAGTCCAGTGGGTAAGAATGTCTTTATGACACAGTGCAAAGCCAGTTCGAACTAATAATTCCTTTGGGTGCTATTTGTTACTGCACCAGGGAAAGAGATAAGGGTCTTGCTGGGGCCCACTCCTGAGTAATTGCTAAGCACAGTGTCCTTGGGCTGGGGAGAAACTGTCAGAGACAGTGTTTCTGAGGCTAGGGAGAAATTGGGGTCCAAGTACAAGCACTAAGCACCCCATGAGGGAGAGGAGGGGAGGAGAGGGGAAAGAAGGAACTGAATTGCTCAACGAGAACTGGCAGCTCGGACCATTCACAGGTTGTGGTTTGTCCATCATTCTGGAAGAGGACCATGACATCAGGTGATGTGACTTGCAATTGACATTGATTTGAGTGAGGGAGGGCTGTGCAAAGTCACCAGCCTCACTTTTTGTACAAATTGACAGTGACTGTGCCCTCAGGCTGTGACTGCCTATTCCAAGGAAATTTGAAGTCGTGTTTATAGGAACCTTGGATCAGGAAAAGATCACAAAATTTTAAAACATGGGGGCAGTTAACCTTTCAAAACAATCATCCCTACACAGCTCCTCCCTTGACTGTCCTGGGCACGTGTGTTAGACTAAATAAAGGGATCTCCTTTACAGTGATCAGTATCTTAATCCTTTTTCTATGGAGAGGGTCAGGCACACCTCAATTTCTATAAAGATAAAAAAGTGGTGCAGCCTGCCCTGGGATGGGTCAGTGAGCCAAAGCTTCTTCAGAAGGAGGGAGGTAGAAAGCGGTTATCTAGAGGAGAGAATCATTAATCCATTCCCCTAAGGAAGACCTTGGCTTTTGTTCGGGGGTCCTTTTTCCTTAAGGGAAAAGTCTGAAAAGGGATTTAGTCTGGAAAAAATGTTATTCCTTCATCTGAGAGTTAGGGAGGCAGTGTGGACCAGTGTGAAGGTAGAGGACCTGGATGCCCAGTTTCGAGCCTGGGGGACTGGAGAGCATGGTGATGATTTTGGAGGGTGGGTTTAGGTGGAATTCAGCCTCAGCCATGTTGAGTCTAGGATGTCCACTGGACATCCAGTCTGGGATGTCCGCAAGGCAGCTGGAGATTGAGACTGGAGGTCAGCGGAGAGTCTGGCGCGGATGGGCAGATTTGAGAACTCTCAGCATAGAGATGAAAATGAAATCCATGGGAGCCTCAGACACTAGCTAGCCGTGGGACCCTGGGCAAGTTACTGCTTTCTGCCTCAGTTTCCCCTCTGTAAAACGAGGCACCTCCTCCCACTCCCAGGGTGGTCGTGCGGGCTAAGCGAGACGGTTCGCGGGAGGCGTCTCGCGCACCTCCGAGTGCTGCCCCAATAGCTACAGGGCGCCGCAGAGAGGGTCACTCTAGGACCTCGAGGGAATTTCTAGGGTTCCTTAGAGCGAGCCTAGAAGGGCAGCCAGGGGAATCTTCGGTGCGAGCTCTGATTGGCTGAGCTCTCTATGCTAACCAATCATCCTGCTGTTCCCCGAGTTTCCCCTCCACCTCTGCCGGAAGCTGTGGACAGCTTCGTGACGATTGGCTAGTGTGGTGGCGAGACTAGCCAATCAGCTCTCGAATCGAGGATAGTCACAGTTCTTCCTCCTCCCTAGCTGGTTTGAGTCTAACTGTCCCAATGCAAGAAGAGCATGGCAATGATTGGCTAGAGTGGTGGTCACCTGCCAATCCAAGCTCCGACCGTGGGTTTGCGCATCAGCCCCGGCGAGGTCCGGAGGGAGGCGGGGAGAAAAGTCAATAGCGGATCCATGATTGGCCGGAAGAGCCAGCATCAGCCAATCATCTCTCGCACCTAGATCCGCCCGTACGCACCTCCTCCTCCAGGCTGCCGACTGCTGGTCCCCGAAAAGGGGGATGGGGAGGAAGGCAGGGAAGCCGCGTGCTGATTGGATGGAGCGGTGATCCTCCGCCAATCAGCGCGCCCCTCCTCGCCAACTGTCAGCCTCGCTCGGCAAAGATCTGGTGGGGGCGCGTGAAGGGGCTTCCTCCGGGTGGCGGCGAGCGCGTGGCCGCCTCGGCTCAGCATGGAGGGAGCGGCGGCGGCCACGGCGATGAGGACGGGCGCGGGGACCCTGCCCGTCCCCGGGGAGAACGGCGGCGGAGAGACCCGCCCCCGAGAGAGGTGCGTGGGGTGGCCGGGGAAACTGAGGCAGTGTTGGGGAAACTGAGGCCTGGGGGCGGGGGGAGGAGAGGGGAAACTGAGGCGGTGTGTCTGGGGGAAACTGAGGCCTGGGGGGGTTGGAGGCCCAGGATGGGGTTGCCACAGGCCGGCGGGGGTCCGGGCCGCAGCCGTTTCCGGAGGCCGCGGAGGAGCCTTGGGCCGGGGCCAGAAGGGAAGCGATTGAAGCAGGCCGGGACTTTGAGCCGAGAACCCCGGGATCTGGAGGGAGGGGCTGGGCGGCCGTGCTCGGCGGGGGGGGCACAGCGGCTTTGGGGGCGCCAGGCTCCCTTGGGCCGGAGGCCCCCAGCAGTGGCCGAGATAAGGGAGACCATCCCGGGAGAGATGCGGGACCGCGGGGGGTCTGGGCAGGTGTGCGCCCGGCGCCTCCTCCGGCCACCCCGCCGACCGCCCTCCCGGGTCCCCCACCCCACCCCGGCTCCCGCCGCGATGTCCCAGTCCTTCCGACCCGCCTAGGATCGCGTCCTGGGGGCCCAGGTGTGGACCCCGCCGGAGGGGATGGGCAGCCGCGGCCGGAGCGCTTGGGACGGGTCCGGCGGCTGTCCACTCTGTCCCCCCTGACCATCGCAGTCGGCCTGGGACCGCGTGGGCGTCCTGCTCTGGGCCGACCCCCTCTTGTACGAAGGAGGAGCAAAGCGCCGGGATGGAGGCGCCTCCTAGGCGCCCGGGTGTCCCGGCCCCGGCCCGCTCTTTGTCCTGTGCCCGGACACGCCTGGCTTTCTGCCCAGGGGGTCTTCCTTGGGGGTACCCAGCTTGTGCAGGAAGGAGCTCCCCGGGCGCCACCTCCCTGGACAGGAGGAAAGGTTCCCTCCTGGTGCCTCCATCGCAGACTCCGGGGCTGACGCGACTGATGATCCCGGGCCGGAGAATTGAGGGCCCGACGGCGGGGGTGGGGTCACCAGCGGGACTTTGGACCGGGTCTTCGGACTCTCAGTCCATCCCTGCCTTCGGGGCCGTGCTGAGGAAACGCCTCCTCACTTTTCAGCGAGGATACCTGCAGTTTCCCAAGCTTCTCTCCCCAGTGATTGGCAAACTGCTTTGCTAGGACATAATTAACGGCCTTGGATGTTTCCTGGCCTGCTGATGCATACAAAGCCCTCTGCCAGGTCCTGGGGTATGGACCTTTCCCTTTCATGTGGCTGTGGATTTTGCAAGGAATGGAGAGTCAGGAGAGATCAGAGTTCAAATTGCACCTCCGTCCCTTACTAGCAGGATGACCATCTAAACTTGTTCTGGTCCTCAGTTTCTTCATCTATAAAACCTTCACCTCTCTGACTTCATAAGCCTGAAAGACTTGCCTAGGCCCTGAGCTATGGGGCCTTGTCCAGGACGGTGGACCCAGTCCCTCCACCCGCTGCCAGGCTGCCTGTCAGGTGCACTCCCCTAACTTAGAAAGAAACAGAACTGAGATGCTAAGGTTGGGGAGAGTCACATGTTAACTTTCTACAGTGCTCAGCAGAAAACCATTAAGTGCTTTCTAATCATGATATTATTTGCCCCAAAATTACTCTGTCTTCTTGTTTCCAGAAAGGTTTACATGGATTACAATGCGACTACTCCGCTGGAGCCAGAGGTCATCCAGGCTGTGACTGAGGCCATGCAAGAGGCCTGGGGGAATCCCAGCAGCTCATACCTGGCAGGTGAGGCACCACACTCAAGGGGAGATGGGGGCTCTGGATGCACAGGCAAGTGTGAGACACCCTCACTGCCCTCGGCCAGCTTCTGGTTCAGAACCACTCATCCCATGGCCTGCAGCCAATAGTCTCCCGAGTCCTAGGCATGATGTCGGCCTGTTCAGGTCTCTTGGGCCTGCGCTCCGCAGCCTCTGTCCTGGGCCTTGTCTAAGGCTGTTTGGAGCACTTGGTACTTTTCAGCCTCTGTCTCACACTGTCCTGGTCTTGGAGTGGATACGTGATGTCCTTCCTTGGGGACTCCCTCTGATGATGCTGATTTCCCCTGGCCATCCTTTGGTTTTCATTTGTTACTGTCTCGTCTCCTCTTTTGATCTCTGTACCAGGGGAAAAAGCAAAGGACCCTAGAATCATAGATGTCCACTCAGAAGGGGCCTCAGAGACAGCTAAAGAAAATGAGGCCTGGGGTGCTTCTCTGACATAACTGAGCCCACATACCTGTAAGGGCCAGAGGCAGGATTTGAACCCAGGCCCTGTGACTCCAGAGCCAGGGTGTTTTGTTGTTTAGTTTTGTTGTTGTTATTGTTGTTTTTGCTTTTTGGTGAGGCAGTTGGGGTTAAATGACTTGCCCAAGGTCACACAGCTAGTAGGTATCAGGTGTCTTAGGTCTGATTTGAACTCTGGTCCTCCTGATTCCAAGGCTGGAGCTCTATCCACTGCGCCACCTAGCTGCCCCAACCAGGGTTCTTTTCACTGCACAGTTACAGCTATGTGTAATGTTATTGAAGGCCAGTCAGGTTTCTACATTTGGGAACAGTTTATCCATCACCTCTCTGGCTATATGTCTCTAAGACATCTGCTTCTTATAGAGACTTAAGTAAAATGGAAGTCTTGGAAGCTGAGACTTAAATCAGGTCTACTGACTTCATGCAAGGTCCTCTGGATCCCATTCAGGGAGATCAGCCGGATTCACTTGCTGTATTTCAATGTTTGCGGTTAAGAACAATGAAGATATATTTTCTGAAGTTAGAGATTTGTTTAACTGCCAGGGTGTTTCAGGGACACCGAGTCTCCCTGGGTCTTGGACCCCCAAGGCAGTCCAGGTCCCACTGCTGGTTGTTCGTTAACGTCCCTCTTGGTCTGTCTGGCAGCTTTGCTGACCACTGTCCTGGACCTTGCCCAGCATCCCCACTTTACCAGGTGGAGCTCACCCGGAGTCTGAGGTGGTGTCAGCTGAGCTGCACCAGGGGGTGCTGGCTGAGGTGCCTTTTGGAAAGGGCCCTTGCGGTCTACACTGGCAACATCTGGGAATGCCCCAAAGGCCAGCCCTGCTCTTGGGCCAGGCGTGGCTCTAGGGCTTCTGGGAGACGGGAGGAGCACTTAGAGTCAGTGCATAAAATAGGAACCATGTGTATAAAAGCACCATGAAAATGAAAGCGTGTGTGTGTGTGTGTGTGTGAGTGTGTGTGTGTGAGTGTGCGGTTGTGTGGTTTTGTATGAATGTGTGTGGGGGTGGGGCCCTCGAGAAGGTGTGAGTGCAGCAGCTTCCGTCAGGGCAGGGGCCTTGGCTGGGCAAAGGGGAGCCGACCCCAAAGGGATTGTGGGGGTTCCGACCTCTTCTCCTGGGACACCTCTTGTTGCTCTTGACCAAATGAAATCAGGTCCTTTGTAGTAACTCACCTGGAGGCGTCCTGCACTCACGTTGGCCGGAGGAGCATCGTGGCCAGCGGATGGACATTGGCCTCAGATGTACTGGCTGTCCCCTTGCTTTACATCCACACCATTTGATGGGGCCCCGTCCAGGGCCCTCGGGCGCCTCATCGTGGCGTGGAGGTGCCTCTGTGCTAGGGCAGGCATACCACTGCTGCTGAGGGTAGAGAGGGTCACGGCAGAGGGTCAGCCACTGGTGGTGTGGGGTCGTGTCTGCTGATTCTGTCTCTGGGTTTCTTTAAACACATCTTGCTTGGCTTCTTATGGCATTGTGGTTGATTTTTTATTGATTTTTTTTGAAGGCAAAAAGGCCAAGGATGTGATAAATGTAGCCCGAGAAAACTTGGCGAAGATGGTCGGCGGAAAGCCCCAAGATATAATCTTTACTTCAGGGGGAACAGAGGTAAGGGCTTTAAACATAGTTTCACTTTCTCCTGGTAATAAGTGCTGTTCAGTTAGATAATGCAGTTAATTCAACAAACATTTATTAAGCATGTAGTATATGCCAAGCACTGGGCTAGGTGCTGTGGCAGCTATAGATAAGAAAGAGTTCCTGACCTCTTGGAGCTTACAGTCTAATAAGGGGTTAAGACACACACACAAAAAAACCATCTCATACAATGTCCTATGATAGGTGTGGGCTTTACAGGATGGTGAGAAATTCAACAGGTGAGGAAGTGGGAAGGCATTGGAGACTCGGGAAATAATGTGACCAAAAGTCAGAATGGAAGGGTGCCAGGTAAACAGAGCAGCCCATTTGGTGAGAGTGATGAGTATGTGGAGAGAAGGCTGGCCAGGGGGGCTGTGCCTTAGTTTCTCTTCTGTCAAAGGTGAGGCTGTGTAGACTAGATGGCCTTCTGGGTCTTGCAGTCACATCCTCTCCCTGGATTCATTTTCTTCCTCTGTAAAATGACACTAGATGGCCTTCCAGGGCTCCTTCAAGGTCTAAGCCTGTGGTCCGAGGAATTTTAAGCAGAAAACAAACTTCCCATGGGGAGGGTTTTGTGATTTGTTTTCTTCTTGCCCTCTGGCCTTTCGACAGGCAAACAACTGGGTAATCCATTCTACCATGAAACTATTTCAAGAAAGCCATCGGTCTGAAGGAGACTGGCCAGCCAAGCAGCAGCCCAGCCTGGTCAGTGGGGCCAAGCCGCACTTTATCACATGTACTGTGGAGCATGATTCAATCCGTTTGCCCCTGGAACACCTTGTGAGAGAGGGTGTAGCAGGTGAGCTCTAGCTGAGGCCACAGCGGATGCTCAGGTCTGCCTCCCTGGGTCCTGCTGCACTGTGGCTGTGGCCCTTACTGACCTCTGCCCCCCATAGCTGGCAAAGGGATCTTTCTAAGCCTTCTCTTCTTCCAGAAGCTTCAGTAGCTCCCCATTGCCCCCAGAACCAAAGATGCACTCCTCTCTTGGCAGTTCAAAGCCTTCCCAGCCTGCTGCAGCCCACCCTTTGAGGCTTAGGCAAGTTAAATAGCTAAGGTAGTCAGTCACCCTGGCCTTCTGGCTCTTCTCTCCATGCCTTTGAACAGGCTTTTCCTCCTTCCCCTTCCCCTAGGGCTCCTAGTTTCCTTCTGAGCTTCACAAAGGTACTACCTCCTACCTGAGGCACAACCTGATTTTCCCCTCTCTCTCCCCCAGGTTAGTTTGTACTTACTTGGTTCATATCTGCATGTGTCCATGGCATCTGTTCTGATATGTCATCAGCTGCTAGAGGGCAGGGGCTGGTTTTATGTTGTCTTTGAGTCCCCAATGCCTAGCATTGTGCTTGGCTCATAACAGGCACTTAATAAAGGCTTTTTGACGGACAGGTTGATTGGTACTGCACATTACCAGAGGGAGGCTGGTGATTGGGGCATCCCCAGGTGCACCGAGGAGGAGAAGAGGAAGCCTGGCCTGGCACTCCAGGCCTCTGGCCCTTGCTCTGGCCCAAGACAACCTTAGCATCTTTCCGCCCAGCCCTACCCTTCAGACAAGGGCACACCCACCCGTCACTTTCCTCAAGGAGCTTCCAGTCTAGTCTGGAGAAAAGGCAAGGCAGGTCTACACAGAGTCAACCATGGCGGCCTGCAGCCATCCTGGGAGGTCACAGAGGAGGAGGGAGATGAGCTTGGGTTGGGAATCATGGGGAGAGACTCCTGGAGGGGATAGGGGAGGCAGGAGTAGGAGGAAGCACATCTTAGGGTGAAAAAGGGTGACAGGCCCTCAGGCCAGGGAGGCTGACTCTAGAGCCTGGCACGGCCCTTCCCTTCTCAGCCCTTAATGTCCTTGTCTGTAAATTAAAGGGCTAAGAACAGGTCAGCTCCAGCGTTCCATCCAGCTTTTACTTTTTAAACTGCTTTTGAAATTGGGAGCCCTTGTGACTTTTGGGGAGGGGAGAGATTAAATGAAACTGGATGATTAGTCTGGCCCTAATGGCCAACGTGGAAGGCCTGGCTGATGTCAGTGACATGGGCAAAGAGCACCATGCAGGAATCTCTGAGGTGTGCAGTGCCGAAGGCCTGCACTAGGGTGGAGAAGAGCTCACGGCCACCAAAGATCTCTGAGGAAGAACTGACAGGACTGTCCTTGATGGGTTATGGAGAAAGAAGGAGAAGGCCCAGTCCTCATGTCAGAGGTCATGGGCTGCAGTGACTGCAGAGTAAAGGTGCCACTGACAGGCGAGAAAGTTGAGGGGCAGCCAGTGTTAGGGGGAAGTCACTGAGGTGTGTCAAGATCAGGATGGGGCAGAGCAGCTCACACTAGAAGACACCAGCGCTGTCAGGGAAGCACGAGGTAGTGAGCAGATGCCTCCTCTGTGCCAAGCAAGCATTGTGCTTAGTACTGGGGAGACAGAGAGGCCAGAGACCCCACCTTCCAGGGGTCACCGTCTAACGGGGCAGACACCCTAGACACCCACAGACACATACAGCATGGATGCTGGGCAGTTACCAGCCTTCTTAGCTCTTCCTCCTCCTCATACTTGTAGACGTTTGTATTTAAGAAGTCGGGCTTGTGTCAGAAATGTTTACATTGGGAAGTTCTTCCTGAATCGGTCTTTCTCCTTAATATTATGGATGCCTTGCTTTTTGGCTTCTGAAAATTATTTTAATATAATCAGATCGATTTTTGTTTCCTATAATTTATTCTGTTTGTTGAATAGATAAAACCTTTCTACTTCTCCTCAGCTCTGATCACTGGAATTCCATGAGCATCTGCTTTTTCAGGATTTACAAATATTTCGGTTCTTTTGGATTCTATCCTCTTGGGGTGTATTGTTGTGGGAGGGTCCAGCTGGGATGTGACCCCTTTTTGCCATTCAGCTGTCCAGTTTTCTTAAGTTTTTGTTAAATAATGATTCCCTTTCCCATAGTCCTGTGATCTTGAATTTATCAAACGCTGGTCAAAACACTCCTTGTTCATGTATACCATTTGGCAGAGTCCATTAAACCTTCACGGAATGAAACTTTGTTGAAGAAGCTGCCCGTTCTTGTGAAACATTTCATTCATTTATTTACTCACCAGGCATTTAACAAAGTGTGTGCAGAGCAGGGACACGGGGGCAGTTCGGAATTTATACAAGACAAAGCCTCCGCTCTCCTGGGAGATCGTGCAGGACACACGAGTGCTCCATGGGCTCATTTTTTTGAGCTAGAAGGGATGTTGGAGATCATGGGGTCCAACTCCCTCAATTTACAAAGTGAGGAAGCATAGATACCGCAGTGCCAAAGATCAGGTGTCAGCTGCTTTAGAAAGCAATTAGAGGACCCAGGGATGTGGGAAGCCTCAGGGCAACCATCATTACTAAGAGGGCAAGTTAAGCAAGGCCTCACCTCGAAGGTAGGGTGTGAGGTAGGCTTTAAAAGATGTAGGAACTACAGGAAAGAAGGGGAGGGAGGATATTCTGGCATTGGGAACGGGGGAGCAGAGACCCAGGGTGTGGACATCCTTGGAGGCACATGAGCTTACCTTTCATTTGGTAGGCCACAGGGTTGGACGAGGAAATAACAGCACTAGCTCTGTCTGCAGGAGACAGATGATCAGGACATTAACCTTGACCCTTGTCTCGTTCACCACAGAGGTCACTTTTGTCCCCGTCTCCAAGCTGAATGGTCGGGCAGAAGCTGACGATGTCCTTGCAGCTGTCCGACCCACCACCTGTCTTGTGACCATCATGCTGGCTAATAACGAGACTGGTGTTATCATGGTAAGACAGTCTGAGAAAAAGTTAGTGATTTGGGGAGGGAGCTCTCGCTCTATCTCATTCTGCATCTGGAGTCCATCACCGCTCCATCAGGAGGTGGTCCCATGCTCCGTTGTTGGCCCTCTGGAATTACGGTCACTGCGCTGATGAGAGTTTAACGCCTTTCAATGTTGTCATTGTATGAGTTTTCTCTTGGTTCTGTGCGCTTCACTCTGCATCAGTTTATAGAAGTCTTCCCAGGTTTTTCTGACACCATCTGTCCCTCATCCATTTTTAGGGCACGTCTGTTTCCTGTCACAGTCATGTATCATCACTTCATCAGCTGTTCCTCAGTTTCCAGTCCTTTGCCACCACAGATGCTATGAACAGTTTTGTATCTGTGGGTCCTCTTCTTATTTCTTCTGTCTTTTGGGGAACCTGCCTAGTATTGGTATCTCTAGCTGCAAGGGTATACGTGGTTTAGTAACATTTTGGGTATAGTTCCAAATTGCCTATACACACATAATAGGTGCCTGATACATGTTGATTGATTGATTGATTGAATGAATGAATGGAACCTTCACCACTTCACCAATAGTGCATTCGTGTGCCTGATTGGGCCAACATGGGCCATTTTCCTTTTTTTTTAATCAACTTTGCCAATCTGATGCATATAAAATGGAGCCTTAGAGTTAACTTAATCTGCATTTCTGTAGTTCTCAGTGATTTGGCCCTATTCGTATCCTTTGACCACTTATGTATTGGGTACTTCTTCTTATAAATTTTGGTTTCTGATATATATAATAATAATAATAATAGCTAACATGTATTAAGTGCACAGTACACGTGCCAGGCACTGTGCTAAGTGTTTTACAATAATTATCTCCTTTGTTCCTCACAATCCTGTGAGGTAGGTGCTGTTATTCCCATTTTACAGAAGAGGAAACTGAGACAAACAGGTTAAGTGACTTACCCAGGGTCTGAGGTCAGATTTGAACTCGGGTCTTCCTGACTCTAGGCCCAGGGCTCTATCACTGGGCCACCTCAGACACCCCAATCATAGAAATACCTTTATCAGAGAAATTTACTGGAAAGACTTTTTTCCTCCTAACTTTAGATGCATTGGTTTTGTTCGTACAAAACCTTTTTAATTCTTTGCAATCCACATTTTCCATTTCATCTCAATATAACTTAATTCCAAGGTACTCTGTATCACTTGTTTGGTCACGAACTCTTCCCTAATAAATAGTTCCAAAAGTTAATTTCTTCTTTGCTCCTCTAATTTGTTTATGATGTGATCTTTTATATTCAATTCATGCATACATTGGGATGTATTTTAATATGTGGTGTGAATCGAATTTCCTCTTCTGCTCTCTGGTTTTCCCAGTAGTTTTTGCCCAATGATGAGTCCTTATTTGAGTAGCCTGCTTCCAGTTACATTCATCCGGCCTTATAGGGCCAAAGCACGTGAAGCGTAATCCTCTTTTGTTTCCTGTTCTAGCCCGTCTCTGACATCAGTCGCCGGATCAAAGCCCTGAACCAGAAACGGGCGGCCTCCGGGTTGCGGGGCATTCTTGTGCACACGGACGCAGCCCAGGCTTTGGGGAAGAGGCGAGTGGACGTGCAGGAGCTGGGGGTGGATTATTTAACCATTGTTGGCCACAAGGTAAGGCCTCCTGGCTGTTTATGCACTTGAGGCCCTTTGCCACATCCACACATGTGGACACTTTTAGAGAGCTCTGTGGAGTTGGAGTCATTCCCCACTGCCTCATTTAAAAATAAGTGGAGCCGAGAGAACCCTCTGATTTTTATCACCTTTTTGTGTGTGGTAATTGGGAAAGGAAACCCATGCTGACGGTTTGGTTTTCTGCTTGATCACCTTTGGGTGATTGTTTTATTAACCAATCAGAACTGGAGCCTTCACAGCGGAACCCAAAGGTCACACCAGAAAGGAGAGAGCATCTGGGCCTGCTCCCCATCCTGGTTATGTACTTGGGATCATGGACTTGGGGTTGGAAGAAACTTGAAAGACTCAGGCCCCAGAGCAGGATGTGAGTGTGGGAGCATTATGTGGGGTTTGGCTGCCACCTTTGAGGACAGATGTAAAAAGCCGGGTTGTTTCCAGAAAAGGCAGTGAGGTTGGAGCCATCCGGAGGAGGCTCCTCTGGGGAAGGGAAGGAAATGAGGAGAACGTAGCGGATTATGGGGAGCTTTCATCGGGGGGCTGGGAAGTCTTGACTCAAGCTTTTGACCTCAAAGTGATAGGAGAAAGGTAGTACTCAAAACAGATTAACTGGAGGTGCTTTCTAAGATGGATTGGAGCCAGAGAAACAAGGTAGGAAGTAGCACAAGTCATTATTGATGCAGAATTGGTCCAAGTGGAAAAGCCAGAAGGAAACACCCAGAAAGTCCCAGCCATAATCCATTACTCTCCTCCTTAGTTATTGCTAATTATTACTAATGTCATTTACAGTATCCTTTTAAGCCCTTCTGTGTTTCACTGAGGGTGGAGGCGATGGTAATGTTCCCAGCGCCCTTTAGTATCTGTTGTGGAGACCGCAAGCATGGAGGCCCCACTAGGGACTCCCCTTTAGGGCTGGCCGGTGGTTCCTAATTCTGTTATGGTCTTGGCCCAGCCTCTCCACCTTCTCCATAAGAACAGCATCCAAAGGGCAGCTAGGTGGCACAGTGGATAGAGCACTGGCCCTGAAATCAGGAGGACCTGAGTTCAAATCTGGCCTCAGACCAAACACTGGATGCTTATTAGCTGTGTGACCTTGGGCAAGTCACTTAACCGGGATTACCTTAAAAAAAAAGAATAGCATCCAAGACTTTGTCAAATGCTTTGAATTAATCCAGGTGAACGGTCTATATAACACCTCCCAGAGCTTTGTAAAGAAGAAGTCTTCCTCTCTCCATGCCCACTTGCCATCCCTTCAGTAACTCGAACAGACTTTTTCCTGGCATGGAAGTCGTTCCCTGACCTGTGGTTTGCAGACTTTGTCTTCCCAGAGTTTTAGTTGGGAGCCCCCTGGCCCTTCCTTCTCCAGCTGTGTGGCCCCCTCCCAGACCACGCACACACTGGAGGTCCTTCACTGGGGCACCAGGTGCCGGCTCCTTATTTATATCAGGCAGCAATTCTTTCCAAGCCAAAGATGATTCTCTTCCGCAAAGAAAAAAGAAGCAAAATCCTTGTGCTTTTGTCCCCATAGGAGTAGTTTCTCTTTGTGCCTTTAGATTTCTGTTCTTTACATTTTCTGGTCTTTTGGGGTCGACTTTCCCCATGTGACTTTAGTTCGTGGGATTCTCCTCGTGGCCACTCCGAACCCCTTGGCACGCAGAGGGAGGGGTATGTCTGGCCACACCCAGCTCTCCCCTCCTCTCTCCCCCATTCCCATCGTTTCCACCCTCGTGACCAAGGTTTCCTCATCTGGGAGACTCAGATCCTCGTGAGAATTTCCCACTATTGATACTGAACCTTTTGAAGGACTGAATTGTCCATAAAGGACAGTCTAGAAGTTATGACTGACAGCTCTGCTTTTGGCAGAGGTGGGGGGAAGGGGTGGAGTGGGGTGGGGACTGACGGAGAAAGCTGCAGGACCACAGCTTGTCCACGGCCATAGGGCTCCTCTGCTGCGCCCCAGCCCCCACGTGCCCTTAGTGCTGCCGCTCATTAGGACCCACGATCTCTGGTGGTTCCTCCTGCACGTGTCAGTATTTCCAGCCAGAGGGAGGAGGGCAGGGGCACGTCTGCCGCGGGATCCCCTTACGTTTCCCCAGTGTCGGGGTGCGGGGATGTGCTTCCGTAACCTCGGTGCGATGCCTTTTCCTCCTAGTTCTACGGCCCCCGGATCGGAGCCCTTTACGTGCGTGGCCTGGGCGTCGGCACCCCGCTGCGCCCCATGCTGTTTGGAGGCGGCCAGGAGTGGAATTTCCGACCAGGGTGAGGCAGGAAGATGGGGCGGGTCAGGGGACCTTTAACAAACCTTCGTTTGAGGTTTCTGCTTCCCTGGGGAAACCAGGACTTGAGACGCTCTCCGGCTGGGGACGGAGCTGCCGGAGTGAGTCGGTGGGTGCCCAAGAGGAACATTCCCCAACCGAGCCAGGGCCAGAGCCGAGCAAGGGGATGGGCTCCCGGGAAGCCACCCATCCCTGATCAGCCGAGCTTGGGTTCTGAGATGTGAAATCGCCCTGCCCTGCTCCGGGCGCTCCTCGGTTGTTTTTGACAGCTTGCCCGTGCTTTTAGTGTTTAGAATGAGAACCACTCTCCTCCTTCCCCCAAAGGAAGACCCTCTGACAAGTTAGCAAGGCCATGCCGCACAAACCGCCCCCCCCAAGGGCGGGGCCTCCAAGGGCTGCTTCGGACCCCTGCTGCCCCACCCCTCTCTGGTTCCCCCCGGGGCCGGTTAGCCTTGCGTTTATTCTCTAGGCGGCCAGCCTCTTGTAGTCTTCCTGGGTATTCTTTAGAGCAGGTTCTTTTTCTTTTTTTGGGGGGGGGTAGGCAATGGGGTTAAGTGACTTGCCCAAAGTCACACAACTAGTGAGCGTTAGGTGTCTGAGGGCAGATTTGAACTCAGGTCCTCCTGACTCCACTGCCCCAGCTGCCCCCTGCTTGGGGATTCTTAGCAGAGTTCTCTAGATGGGTTCTGTTTTGTGAGCAGATGTTTGTTGGCTGGCTGGCTGATGTGCCACAGGATTAACAAGGTCTAGGGACTGCCCGCAGCATGTAGCCGAGCTACTGCCAGCAGTTTTCTCGAATGATTCCCAACCCACGGAGAAAGATGGTGCTTGTCCGCAGTGAGTGTGGAGGCTGAGGGGCTGGTGTGCTGGCCACCTCTTCAGTCTCAGGCTGCTCTGGCCCCCTCTCTTGAACCAGCTTTGCATACATTTCCTGTTTGCTGCTCTGTGCATAGATTAGCTCCTTCCTGGAGAATGCCTTGGTTGCCTCAGAGCCCAGAACAGCCTTTGGACAGAGCAGTCCTTGGGGAACGTTGGCATCAAAGTTCCTTACTCTGCCTGCAAAGACAAGAGAAACAAGGTGCCAGGCACGAAAGGAGGCCTGAGGAGAGTGAAAGGGGGTTCCTTACCCCATCTGATTGGGTCACAGGCTGCCAAAGGTCACAGCTGGGGTGGGGGCCGTGGGATTCATTGCTCTGAGGATGAGAGGGGAGGTGCTCAGCAGGTCAGGGCCCTCTGGGGCCGGCTCAGCCCGAGGAGCCTTGGAGCCGGAGCTCCCACCTCCTAGTTTTGCTTGTCCAGAAGAGAAAGATGCTGCTGCTTGTTCTTATCCGGCTCAGGCCTCTCCATACTGCAGTCCGGCCTCCATTCAGATGCCCAAGTGACCTTCTCAAAGTGCCCAGATGACCATTTGTCTCTCTATGGCTCCCTGTGCCTCCAGGACCAAATAGAAAGTCCTTCATAACCCAGGCCCCCCCCCACCTAGCTCCACTTTGCCATCTTCTTCCAGCTCCCCTCCCCATACTCTTGGCCCCCTCGATGTCCACCAACAAGACCATCTCCTGCTCTCCCATTTCCCTCTCACTGCCCACCACACCTAGACTGCACTCCAGCCCTGCTCTGCCCTCAGCTTCCCTGGCTTCCTTCAAGTCCTGCCTAGTCCCACCCAAAAGGACAAATTGACAGTTTTCAGAGGTTTGTCACTGAAGTTAATGTTGTCACTGTTGTGCCCCACCCCCCACCCCCCTCTTCTGACTGATAGTTCCTTCGCCCTCCTGTTCAGTTGTGACCAGCCTGCTCCCACCTAGGCTAGGTCCTGGATGGAGCTCCATCTTTCAGTCGGACAAGTCTGTTCAGTGTCTTAGACCCTTGGGAATTTAGTTTCCCAACTTTAAGGGAGGAAGATCAGGCTTTGGCCTAACTCTCCCTTCTCTTTGTGCTGGCTCTCTTCAGATGGACCTTGCCTGGGCTCCAGGCGGAGGGTGAGGTAGAGTCATGTCCACCACTTTGCACTTCCCTGGTTGGTGTGCTCTGCCCCTGGGTGGGGCTCCCTCTAGCTGTCCGTGGCCATGGGGCAGTCCCTGTACCACCACACCTCTGATGTTGAGTTTCTGGTTCAGTTTGTCCTCTCAGCTCTCCACCCAGGAGCTCCCCAGGTGCTGCCGTCCTCTCTTGGACTTTTCATGTGCCTTTTCAGGTCATCTGAGGGTTGAGGAGCTTCCTCTCCTTCTCTGTCCACATCTGGACTATGAAATTTTCTGCTCATGCACATTCTTGACAACATCGATCTCCAGCATGCTGTACCAGGCTTACACCCACCGTTTGCCTTTCTTTGGTCCTTTGGGTGGTAGGGAATTTTAATTGTTCAGGATGGCTGAGTTGCAAGATCTCCAGTTGCATAACCCCAGACACTCTTGGAGCACAGCACACAGAGGAGGGGCACGTCAGGGCTCACTGGAAGCACTGGTCAGTGACCATGTCAAGACAGGAAGCTTTAAGAGACTGAAGACCTCTGCTCCACTCTGGGACAGAACCCCGACTGCACAGATCTGGGGTGGAATGAAGCCACTGCCCACCTCCTGGTGGGGAGGGTGCAGCATGACATGGCCAGGGGCAGGGACAGGTTTTTCTTGACAGTGCGTATTTGTTTTAAAAGGGTTTTGGTTTTGGAGGGTAGGGGCAGGTGGGAGGAAGAGAAAATGAATGCAAGAACTGTTCGTTTCCCCAGGTTTGTTCCAGTCCCCATTTCTTTCCCCTACTCAGTGGTGGGCCCGGCTCGCTCATACACACCCTCTCCCTGCCCCTCCCCCCCAAGTTGCCATAAAAAGACTAAATCAGGTTTTGCTTCAAGGCCAGCAACGATTTCCAGCCCCTCCCTTTTCATCTTACACCAACCCTTCCATCTTCCCATCTGCTTCTTGTTGCCCAGAGATCCTTTAACAAGGGAAACTGATTTCATTCTAGGACTAGAGAGAAAAGCCTTTGTGAGATACAGTTTTAGTGTGAACAAGTTTCAGACATATCTACAAGTGACACAGTCTGACTCAGGGCTCCTTTCCTGGGAGAGAAAAGGGAGGGGTGCTCCCTTAGCAGCCAGAGGAGGCTTGGGAGAGCAGGAATGTACCAGTCCTGCCTAGGATGGGCCTGTTGAGGACAAATGGAGTCGATGCAAATGAAGAACCTTGGCTTTGTGTGGCGTGTGCTTAATGTTTTTTATATTAGTGAAATTAATGGAGTTTAATGTAAACTTCATCTGAAGGTACTTTGCCCCTAGAATTAAATACTGTTGTATCAGGAATGCTGTTTTGTATTCTCACGGGGGATTTAATATTGAATATGTCCTTTTTTTCAGGACTGAGAATACTCCCATGATTGCTGGGCTTGGAAAGGTGAGAAAGAAGGTCCCTGATTCTTCAGGAGTCTACCACCGGTGTGTGTTGGCCCTAGAAAACCCCACATGATCGACAGCCTTAGCATAAGAGGGAAGTTAGGATGGTCTGGGCAATGTCAAATGAATTTTACCAGAATCCAGCAGATTTCATAAATGATTGTTGAGTTGATCTGAATTGTTGCTGACTTAGGGGGTTTCATTGGCCTTGTTATGTCATTTGTCTGTTCTTTGGTTTCCCCAGATCCCACTTAGGGATATATCTGCCCTAAAGTTATAGCCTAGAGATGAAGAAAGACCACATTCATAGAGTGTTTCCAGTCCTTTCAGTGAAGAGTTGCATCCAAAAGTATTGATATATAAGGGAATTTCATTTCTCAATAGCCCGGGTAACCATGAGAGTGGACGTGGTCAAAGGCCTCAGTGGAAGGTTGGCCAACGAGACTCATGAGGGTAGGAGCCCTGAGAGCACTTGCTGGGACACTGGACATTGCCTGTGATCAGCACTTTTGATGCTAAGTTTTTGCCATGACTTATGCTACTATCAGCTGCAAAATCATGATAGGCAAACCAAATATGAGGAAGAGACCCTCGACTTCTAGTCTTGAGGGGCCTCCAGAATAGTCTGACTCTTCATTTGCTACTCTGTTAAGCCCATGTTAGATACAAGGCGACTTGGGGCACTTGACTTTGCTTAGACATTCTTAATTAGGGCTTATTCTTGCTTCGAAAACTTGTGAAATGTGAAGTTGCTTTTATAAGCTAACAATGTGGTTCTTTTTTAAAATCGCTTTTTATATCTTGTCCTTTAATTCTCTAGTGTTCATGCCTTGATCACCACTTCAGTAAAAATTACTTTGCACATAGGCCCTTGTGCATTCAGCATTTATTTCCAGTGTTGCAGTGCTAGAAAATTCAATTCCTGGCTATTGACAGTGGTGTGCAGGTTCATGCTGAGCTCTCAGTGCAGGGGAATCATGAATGTGTCTAGGTTTAGAAACCATGTTGTTGGAGAGTTTGCTCGTGACTTTCCTAAATACACAGCTAATGTGGTGGTGGTGGGGGGGGGGTGTTGACAGACTGGCAGGTGCACTGAGTTTACCCATTTAGGGCTTAAGCAAATTCTGATAAGTGACTGGAATCTAATAGCCACAGGGAAGGCTACTTCTTTTCTTCCTCCTTTCCTTCCTTCCTTCTTTATTTTCCTTCCTTCCTTCTTCCTTTCTCTCCTTTATAAATTTAAACTTTTAAATTAATGTCTTGTGTTTTATCCTCTACTCTTTAAACCTGACTTGTTTGGCTGTCATTTTAAAGAAAAATTGCTAATGTGTCTCCATTTTTAAAAAATTAAGTAGTGTATGATTTCAAAATGACGACTGTGGACATATGTACAAGGCAGGCGCTCGGAGCTCCTCATGAGCAGTGAGCAGCGTTGGCTATCCTACTTTCTGTGTTTGTAGGCGGCAGAGCTGGTGAATGAGAACTGTGACATTTATGAGGCCCACATGAAAAAAATACGCGACTACCTGGAGGAGAAGCTACAAGTGAGTCAGGGACCCCATGAGGGAGGGGCATCGCCTTCCCTAGGTGTGGGTGAGGAGGGTGGCCCCCGGCAGGGAGCAGGAGAGAGGAGGGGCCATGCTGCACAGAAGAGCTGGTCCTGCTTTGAAATACAGCCTGAGAAACTCATTAAGGAACCCATTAGAGTGATGAGGAGAGAGATGGAGAAAATGAGGAGGGTGAAGTTAGAAGCCCAGGCCCTGGGGGAGGTCAGTGTGGGGAGCGGGTGTGTGCTCAGCCCCCAATGCCAGGCAGTTCCTTCCCACTCTCTTTGCCCTCCACTTTGGGGAGTGGATGTCTGCTGGCGAGGGGAATGTCTTTTTTATGTGTTTTGTATTTAGGCCGGAGAGTTGGAACCTGAATTTCCTGAATCTTTCCTGTCTTTCTAGGCTGTGTTTGAAAAGAAGAGAATCCACCTGAACAGTCTGTTCCCAGGCTCTGATCGTCTCCCCAATACCTGTAACTTTTCCATCAGTGGTCCACATCTGCAAGGTGACTTTGCGGCACTCCATCTCTACCCCCATCCCTTCCTCCCTCAGTTACAACCCCATTTTCACACATATCGTCCTGCCTGGTACACTTGCCCTTGGCCAGTGTACTGCTTCTGGCATCTGAGTTGGGTCAGAGCCAGGTCTGCCCTGAATCCATAAGCTGCTTCTTCCTGGACACCATGAGGAGAACAGTCCATTCTGTCTGGTTCTCTGTTGTGGCTCGATGAAAGCTGCCTTCTCACATTTTTCTCTCTTCTGCTACCCATCTTTTACCTTTTTTTTTTCAATCTTGAAGTGACATTCTGCTTTTATGAGGATTCTCCTGCCTTTCCCGGGGAATTCTCCAGCATTGCATTGGAGGTTGGGAAAGGAATAAAGTGGCTTGAAATCCAGAGGAGTCCATTTTTCCATTTATTAGCAATTGTTAGGAAGTAGTTGATGGGGGCAGGACCTGTTAGAGTAAAAGATGAAAACTCTTGGCTAAAATAGTTTAAAGATTTCTTTTGGTCTTGCTATCCCTTTCCTCCACTGCTGTGGACAGTTTTAAATGAACGGTCTCCCAGACACAGAAATCCTCCTCCTCCTCCCCACTCTACTCCTCAGTAGGTCTTATAGGGTACAGCAAAAATCAGATTTCTAGCTAGATTCAAAAACTCTGTGCTTTTGTGACACTAAAGTAACTTATTCCTGAAGAGCCTTTGTGACTTCTTAGAGGTCAGGGCTGACGTGATTTTGGCCTCCCTCAGAGGAAACTACCTTTCCAAAGAGAAAAGGAGCCTAGTACCCAGGCTTGGGCATGTGAGATCCTGGCACGGGAAGGTGAGGGTGGCCAAGTGTGTGGGTGAGGGGGCCTGCATGCTCACTAGAAGGGGAATGGGACATAGTTTTCCCACTTCTCAGGGGGCTTTTGGGGTGGAAGGAAGGGCTCCTTTCCAGAGCACAGAGGGTTTTCATTTTGTCTTGGGAAGTCGACCTTTCAATCCTAACTTGGCTCTGTGTGTGTGTGTGTGTGTGTGCGCGCGCGCGTGCGTGTGCTGTATCTTGTGCAGGTCGCGTGGTGTTGGCTCACTGCAGAATGCTCCTGGCCAGCGTGGGGGCTGCTTGTCACTCAGACCAAGGCGACCTGTGAGTATTCTTCTTTCACGAGTTTTCTTACTATTGAAGAATGTGGGAGAAGTAAAAAAAAACATTGAGGAGGAAAGATTGAGATTGGGAAAGCTTTTCGTGATCTGGAAAAGGGCTTTTTTGTGTCCTTTCTGTGATTTCACTGGTCCCAGTCTGGAAGTCCTCTTGCACTGATGCATATGGGTGAGTTGCCTGTACTTTACAGCCTTAGCAAATGGCCTGCATCCCCGGCCCTCAGAAGTCAAGGCACTGGCCCAAGGTCCCCCATCCAGGAGGTATCTGTTGGTGGGAGGACTTGCATCTAGGTCTTCCTGACTCTGAGGCTAACTCTGCTCTCCCGACCCTCCAAGGTCACTGTAATAAGGATCATGAAATACTGAGAGTTTGACCTTGTGTTATATTACTCTAATAAGCCACGAAAGGTATCTCTGGGGGCTTTCCCCTTGGCTCACCTGGGCCAATGCTATGAAGGCCATCAGATTTAGTTGAGGTTTTCTCTGTGCTTTGGGTGAGTGCTATATTAAAGAATCTCTCCCCAAAGGAAGAGGCCAGGTAGCCTGGTACCCCTTCCTCTTCTGCTCTTTAGTGGGGCTGTAGAGGCCCCGTAAGGCCTAGGGCTTTAGGAGATGATCACATTCAGGCTAGTGGTGTTAGAAATTCCCAGCCCTTTCGCAAGGTGGGACTGAGAGAGTGAGTCTTTCAGTTCAGTCATTTGGCTGGTCCTGTGGCCACGGCTGGGGGTAGTGACCTCCTGCAAAGGTAATGCAGTTAATGATTTGAGGAGTTACATGAGCACGCAGCCTCCGAGGTCAGTGTGCAGACATGCCCTTCCTTCCCTTGGGGTGGTGGTTCATTGTCCTGGCTTTTCTTTCCAGACCATCACCCATCTTACTGAGTTGTGGCATCCCCCCTGATGTGGCTCGAAATGCTCTCCGGCTCAGTGTTGGCCGGAGTACCACCAAGGAAGAGGTGGACCTTGCAGTGGAGGACCTGCGGCAGGCGGTCACTCAGCTTGAAAAGAGCTCAGCCTCCTAGAATGTGGAGCAGCCGTCCCCATGGGGAAGGCCATGGAGAAGGGGCCCCAGCTTTCCTTGGACGAGGATGGGGGTCCAACTGCAGTGAAGAAGGGCTTGCCATGATGCATAGGAAACCCCAGTCAATGTGGAAGACTTTAGAAAGTCCTTTATTTAATGTGGAGGAAAAAATATAGGATAACAGTATCTATGAATGTATATTTTAGAATACATATTTTTATTTTTGCATCTCTGATGTAATGATGATGTGGTAATTGAGACCACTCTTTGAGGTTGTTCAAGAAGAATCTGTGTTGTGTGGCTGCCGTTTCTTATAGGAAAGAAGGCATGGGATCCAAATGTGTGCACCTCACCAGAGAGATAGCAGCCCCTCTCTGGGTACTCAGACAGAAAGAAGACCTGGGAGGCTTTTCTAATGAGGAAGGTGTAACTGATACAGCCAGATAAGGAGATCCCACCAGGAGCACTTAGGTGGGAATGGATGTGAATGAAGAGGAAGGCCAGCTTCGAAGGTCCCTCACAGGCCCTCCTGTTTGGAGCAGGGGAGGCAGCCATTTATTAGAGAAAATCAAGGCTTTTGCAGCCTATTGTCAGACAATTAATTTGAGTAACAAGACTTAGGTAATTGATTTTTTTTCCCCCTCAATTTGAAGTCTGTAAATTCTTAGCTTGGAATAAAACTCAAAACTTAGATTTAACAGAAGCTACTGGCGCAGCTAGGTGGCGCAGTGGATAGAGCACCAGCCCTGGATTCAGGATGACCTGAGTTCAAATGTGGCCTCAGACACATAACACTTACTAGCTGTGTGACCCTGGGCAAGTCACTTAACCCCATTGCCTAACCAAGAAAAAAAAAAACAACAGAAAGTACTTAGTTATGGTAAAGTCTAATTTCTGAGCTGAGTATTATCTGTTTTATTTCTCTATGTGTTCAGGGTTATAAATGTAATTTTTCATAGGAAGGTCTTCAATTTCAGGAACCCAATGTTTAAGGCTTTGTAAATTTGCACTCAAAAAAAAGAAGAGACGCTTTTCAATATACCATGCTTATTCCCCCTCTGGGGTTAGCTGATGTTTTTATGCAAGTCCCATCCAATCATAGCATCTCAGAAGGGGCTGATCTCATTCCCCTCTTCCTGAAGACTGCCCTTCCCTTCCCTGACTTGTTCTGTTTCTAAGTTGTCTGATCCGATCAACTGTGTACTCATCAATGAGTGAGTGAATGAACAACACAAGCATTCATTCATTCATTCATTCTTTTTAAAATCCCCTCCCCCCAGCAGAGCCAAATTTTTGCATGGTTAGTCTGTTCCATGGGTGTGTCTCAACCAGATTGTAAATTTCCATCTTCTGTGTAGTCTTCATCTCCCCCAGTGCCTGGCCCAGCCTAAACACATGGTGCACACTTTCCGAATCAGTCACCTCTTCGTCAGGTGTTTGTTACCTCTTGAAAGGATCTTGGAATCCCTTCTCATTTTATAGAGAAGGAAACAAGCCAGAGAGAAAACCTGGCACTGAAGCAATGGAGCAGCATCTACAGGCCAGATCTGGCCCCTCTATATCTGTTAATTCTCAAGAATTAACTTCCTCAACTCAAGGAAGCTCAGGCACATTTCCTTTCTCCAACAGGCATTCACTCTCAATTACCTGTATTAAGACGTGGAGGGAAGTACTGTGGGGCAATAAGCACAGGAATTCTTTGAAGGTGTTCCTATTGGGTGTCCTCTTGGAGAGTTTCAACGCCTTCTTGACACCCCACCAGATCCTTCAGTCAGTGTACCCAGGCTCTAGGAAACTTTTTTTTTTTTGCTTTTTGGTGAGGTCATTGGGGTTAAGTGACTTGCCCAGGGTCCCATAGCTAGTCAGTGTCGTGTCTGAGGCTGGATTTGAACTCAGGTCCTCCTGACTCCAAGGCCAGAGCTCTGTCTACTGCGCCACCTAGCTGCCCCTTCTAGGAAGCTTTTGATCTAAGTGAACTCTAGGAGAATTCTCCATAAATCCAGGAAAAGAAAACCAGTCATTTTCCTTGCAATCTGTGGAATTCCAAGTTCGGCCAGACTTGCCACTTCTACTATGTAACCTGCTGGAACCATCCACCACCCACACTAATAGCTATCGGCAGTCATGGTGTTCTTCAAGGGAGCTGACACAGACTGTTCCTGCTTTTCCCAGCGGGCCTTTCCCCCATTTCTGGGGAGGCACCAGGTGTGGCAGACCTGGGGTGTGGCAGAGCTGGTTCTGTCCTTGCTCACGCTTGACGTCAGCTGGCCAATGTGCCGCTGGTCCTGGTCTCTCGTAAGAGCTTCCTTTGGTCTGTGCACCAAAGAAAGAATTTGTCTGAAGGTCATGTGTTATGTGTGAAGGATACATGTGAACATGTGTTATGGGAGAAGGATCTAAATGGGAATGAATTCTAACAGATTGTTAATCAATATTTTAATTGTGCCATCTTTGCTCAATACTGGTGAAAACATTGCTTGGTGATTTTTCTATTGAGTTAATAAATTTTTTTTATGCTAATAATTATATAGTAGTGACTGGCCTGCTTGTCACTTGGTCCCCAGCCTGGCTGAGTGCTTATCATGCCTCTGGGGGCAGGGGGATGGGTGGATTTTCAGCAGTCTTCCCTCCTGAGGGTAGAGAAGGGGTTTCATTGGTGTCAGCAGGGGGAGGACCCACGTCAATGAGATCATTACTCCTTGTGTAGCTCAGCTTTGTACAACACTGTGCAGTTCTTAAAGCTGTTCTCACCACTGACCCTATGAGATGGGAGAGGCAGAAGAGGAAACTACGGCTCTGAGAAGCCGACTCCTGGCCAATAGGAAATTAGAATGCGGGTTTCCTGGTTCCAGGGCTTGATGCACTTACCGTTGTCTGTGATGCTTTATGTTAGGTAGAGTTTGCTTTACTTTGGTATGTTGAGATTTTGGAATTTATGTAGAGGGCTAACCAGCATTTATTAAATACCCACTGTGTGCCAGGCTCTGGGCTAACCACTGGGGATACAAAGAAAGGCAGAGCCATGGTCCCTGCCCTCAAGGAGCTCAGTCCAGTGGGAGAGAGCATGCGGACAACTAGGTACATTCAAGATACAGACAGGGTCGGGTGGATGTGATCTCTGAAGGAAGGCACCAACCAGTAGGAGGGTGGAGAAGGACTTGTAGAAGGCAGGATTTCAGCTAAGACTTGAAGGAAGGCTGGGAAACTGAGAGGCCAAGGTGAGAAGGAAGAAAATTCAGGTGTGGAAGGCAACCCATGAAAATACATGGGAGTCCCATATTTATAGTTTTTTTGGAAAATGCCCAAGACTTAGTGCCACCATGACTTCATAATAATGGTGAGCCATTGACCATATACCGAAGGTTGAAGTCAATCCCTCTCTAGTCAAATTTCCAGCTGAAGAAGAGGTTTTGAATGCCATTAAGCTCCCTTGGTGTGGCAAAGCACTTGGTGCTGTTTCTATTCCAGCTGAGATTTACAAGGTAGGAAGTCCACAGCTCATACAGAAGCTGAATGAAATCATCCGGGCTATTGTCAAGTGGGAGTTCTCCCCCAGGAGTTCAAGGATGCCATTGTCCATCTTTATAAAGGCAAAGGAAAGAGACTGTCCTGTGACCATCATGGTAGGGGTGAGGGAGGGGGGAAGGAGGCCAGGGTCTCTCTCTTAGTCATTGCTGGCAAGATTGTTGTCAGAGTCCTCAGTAGGCTGACCTCCGCCTAGAAGATGGTCATCTACCTGAGAGCCAGTGTAGATAAAATTAGCACGTGAGAATACTGAGTATTAAAAACCAATATCTTGGAGAGTTTCACAGCTCCACCCACAAAGTCCTGACTTAAAGTTCAGTTTGTTCTTTTTTAAGGACCTTACTGAAAATGCGATTACATTAACTCTCCTCCATTTTGGTCAGGCCCCACACTACCAGGCAAGGACTGTAATCTAGGGTGGGGAAGCCCAGTGTGTTCTACTCAAACTTGGGGAGACGCAGATCCTTTTGTCTAGAAGCCCAATCTGAGGGTGGTCTGAGTAGAGATAATTTTCTGTGTCCAACAGCAAAGGGCATATGAACTGTGAGCCATGGTTGTCTTTGGTCTAAGAGAGATGGCCAAATGACCATCCTTTTATTAATAACCTGATGGCCATATTAATAAAATGATTAAATCACCCAGAAACTGTCTCTTGAACCTTTTTTTTTTAAGGCAGTTGAGGTTAAATGACTTGCCCAGGGTCACATAGCTAGTGTCAAGTGTTTGGTCTGAGGTCAGATTTGAACTCAGGTCCTCCTGACTAGGGCCGGTGCTCTATCCACTGTGACACCTAGCTGCCCCTCTTGGACCTTTTTAAACAGCACACAGGCTTGTAAATCAGTGATGATGATGAAAGGCGATATTTAGATTGTGCTTTAAGACTCAGTGGTTTACAAAGTGCTTTATGGACATGATCTCAGTTTACAAAACAGCCCATATCAGTGGGAAATCCTAGTTACTACCCCTGATTTACAGATGAAGAAACCAGCGCCCAGAGAGGTTAGGCAGCCTTCCCAAGATCACACAGGTGGCCACAGGGTCAGATTTGGGATTCACAACCTGGAACCTCTGAGTCTCTTTCCACTCATCTTTACGTAATCCCAAACTGGATGTCCACACCTGGATGTATGAATGTGTGATCTCCCTGATGGGATTACTCCTTCCAAAGACTCAGATTGCAGCTCCTCCTTTGTCCTCCTCATGAGGGTCTTATTCAGGTCCCGCCCTACACGCCCTACACGGGGCACCTCCCAATGTGCTGAAACTTTCCTCTGGATAGATATCTTGACACCGCATGGATCCCAAGGGAGGAAGCACGTAGGCTGTCCATTGGCTCTCCCATTCCCTCAAGGACCGGTTCATCTTTAGGGGGCAATCATATCTGGTGCCATATTTCATGGTGCTTTACTCTTGAACTACCTCATTGGTAATAGGTTACAGACTGCTCAGGGCCACACATCACCTAGAGAGACAAAGAATGGGAAATCGTACTTCAGAGTAATGCATAAGTGAATTGCCCCAAATTCTACAGCTGGCCAGAGGACTCATGGAACACAGACCTGGAGCTAGCAGGGCTTGAACACAGGTCTTGGTTTCATGTCCAGTTTCCTGGGCAGTAAATATACCATAATGCCTACTGTGAATGAGGCATAGCCTCAGTTTTCCTAGGTTTTGCCCTGTGCAAAGCTGAGGTACACCACACAGGGTGTGCGGGAAAGGGCTGAGTGTACCCAGGATTTAGCACAGTGCCTGGCACATACTAGGGGCTTCATGAGCGCTAGGTGACTGATGGATTCTGCCCTGCCTTCTGGAGGGCTGGTGATCCTGGTTCCTGGCTGACCAGCCCAGCTGAGAATCAAGCCAAGAAAACACTAAGTTCTCTAGCTCCAGGACAGCCTGGGTTCCCTTCATTCCCTCAACCGTTTCTTGGAGCTCAGGCTCTGTCTCCAGCCACGGCAGCCTCCCTATCCTTGCCCGCTGCCTCCCATCTGCCTGCCCTCCACCGAGCCTTATCAGGTAACCAGAGATGTAGCTCCTTCCACACAGGAAACAGGACCCTCTGACTGTGAGCGTGAGTAGCTCCCTAGAGGAACACGGGTACCTGCAGGAGAGCAAGTGAGAATCTCAGGATGGGCGATCATCGGGCACTTTTGGCAGCCAAGTACGGGGACCTGACCACTTTAAAGCAGCTCTTTGAGGATGGCATCCTGGACCAGACCATCACAGACTCCCTCGGGGCTGGCCTGGTGCACCATGCCTCCAGAGCGGGCCAGCTGGAGTGCCTGAAGTTCCTGGTAGAGCGAGTCAAGGTTCCAGGGAATCAGCGGGCTAAGAACAGAGCGACGCCGGTGCATGACGCAGCCGCCATGGGCCAGCTGGCTGAACTGCACTGGCTCATCCGAGAAGGGGGCTACCGTGCTCAGGTAACTGAGGGAGCGAGGGAGCTAGATGAGAGGGCACGGGCAGCTGGCCCAAGGACAAGCAGGCATTTGGATGTGGTTAATGTTCCGTTACACAGTCCTGGTCATTTTCCTCTCAAAATTATGTTAGCTGAAATTTCAGTTAGAAAAAAATCTGAGTAAATGGGAAATGGGTCTGGGATGCTTCAGCTGCCTGGAATGGTGTCGATATGGCGTGGCCAATGGATCCAGGAGACTCAGACTCAGATCCCAGCTCTATCACTTAGTAGCAGTTTGTGACCTTGGACGACTTGCATCAAGTCTCTAGGTCTCAGTCTTCTCATCTGTAAGGTGGGAGTGTTAGATTCTAAGGTCCTTTCCAGATCTAATTCTCATGATCTAGATTTTGGGATCAAGGTGGGCTTATAATCTGTTGCTCCATCTCTAATGTTTTAGAGTATGTATTTCCTATAATATTTTTACTTTTTTTTTCAGTTAGCAAACATTTGTTTTGGGGAAAGAAAAAAAAATCCTTGTAAAAAATATGTCTGGTCAAGCAAAACAAATTCCCATATTGGCCACAACCGTTCATTACAACTCTTTGTTTTGTGCGTGTATGGTGGGAGGCAAAGAGCTGGAAAGGAAAAAGGGTACTCATCACTTGGCTGAACAAATTGGTCTGTGAACATAGCGTCACAAGAAAGATGAAAAGGATGGTTTTGTAAAGATCCCTGAAGACTTAGAAGAAGTGATACCGAGTGAAGTCAGTCGAGGCTAATTTTTTTTAAATAGCATCAATTTCCCTAAGTGTTTTTTATGCATGTTACAAGTGCTACATAAAACCTAATTTCTTAACCACAGAATACGCAGGAGGTAACCTCCTCATATTCTGATCCCATGGTTATGGCAAGACAGACAGACATGGTCCCAGTGACATCTTTTGTAGGGCCAGACTAGGGAAACCCTTTATAGGGTGGGCAAACTAAAAGATTGTCAGTATCAGCTGAAACCAGCATCTCCGTTGAAGAGTCTGATGCCTAAAGCAAAGAGATTGTGAATGCTTAATGAGCCCAAAGCTTTTTCTGGTATAGAAGCACTGACCTAATCTCCATTTTTATCCCATTGACCATGTGAATGTGTTCGTCATTTTATGTGGCTAGAGTCCTAAAGGAAAAAGCTTTACACTCATTTTAAAATCTTTTGGGGAAGATTTATTGGGAAGCAGGTGAATATGTGATTGGTTGTAGATGGAATAAGGAGAGGAGATAACCCCAGAGAAGTGATTGTCCAGGGTCACTGAGGACATCAGTGGCACTGGGAATACATAGTGGTATCCCTTCATTTGGGAGAGTTTGGTTAACTTACCAATGCATGACCAAATAAGTAATTAGGAGGTAGGGGGATCATGCTCTAAACTAGAATGAAATCCTTCAGGTTTTGGAGTTGGTGTTACTGACTCTAAGCGTCCTTTGGTTCTATGAAGGGAATTCGGCATTTATTTGGATAACTTCAATAATTAAGTATTTATCAAGTACCTCATATTTTCTGGATGTCCCACGCACCATAGTAGAGTTTTTAATACGCTTCCTATCTTGCACTGAGAGACCAGAAGAGCATCACACCATCAGCCAGAGTACAATATTGGTTTTCAGTATTGACTCCAGCCTCTGTGAGAGGACAGTGGCAGAATGGGGTATATCTTGATTCCAAAAGCAAGATACTGGTAAGACCAGATCTGGTTCCCCAGACAGTTCAGAGCAGGATAACACTTAGTTCACAAGAGGCCCTTCTGATGGTAAAAAAGGATTGAGGACTGGGGCAAAAAGAAGGTTCAGTTTTGGGGACAATAAGCTGTCCTAGCTCTAGCTACCTTGACTCTAGTTTCCAGAGGAAGTCAATGTTTCCGGACCTTCAAAGGCACAGATGATAATTGACAGTGATCTCTTAGATGGAAAATTAGGAGACTGGTAACCATCCCAATCAGACCCACAAAAGGAAAAAGATCTGAGGGGACTGAGTGGATATGGTGGCCAAAAAAGCTAATGGAATCTGAGGGCGATTCTAACAATGTCCAAGGCAAGAGAATTAGTAAAAAAATGAATTCAACGATGGGTGTGGTAGGAACAAGATATCAAAACTAACCTTCTATCATTACAAAGACTAAGCTTGGCCCAGAAGGAAAAGATACACTCATCCTGGTTAACAAATCAATTTAACACACATGCTTGCTATGTGTTTATTATGCTTACTGTGGGCAGCTAGGTGTCACACTGAATAGAGCTGGGCCAAGTCACCAAGTCTCGTCATTTCTACCTTCACAGTATTTCTTGTGCACATCCGCTTTTCTCAACTCCACAGCCACGACCCTAGGTCTGGCCCTTGTCACCTCACACTCGGACTAAAGCAATAGCCTCCTAATTGGTCTCCTTGCCTCTAGGTTCTTTCCCTGCTAACTCATCCCCTGCTCAGTGGCTAAGGTGATTTTTCTGAAGTGTGGGTCTGGCCATGTCACCCCTCCTGCTCAGAGACCTTTAGTGGCTCCCTCTTACTTCCAGGATCAATGACAAACTCCTATTTGCCATTTCATGACTTGCCACCTTCCTAGCTTTCCAGTAGTCTTACGCTGAGCCTGCTTTCCAGTATTCTCTACACTTTATCTGGGTCTCTGATGGCCAGAGACACTGGTCTACTTGTAATGCTTCAGATAGACCATCGCCCATCTCCGGGCCTTCATACTGGCTGCCTTCCATGCTTGGAAGGCTCTCCTTCCCTCCCCCCAACCCCCAACTCCCATGGCCTTCTTCAGGACTCAGCCTAAATCTCACCCTCTGCAGCATCTCCCTTCTCTGTGGCTGATACCTTCTCCTCTGAGATAACTTTCTGTCTCCTCCATCCATCTTGTGTGTATCTAGTATGTGTGACACATCTTGCGTGTACCTAGTATATATGTGATCCATCTTGAGTGTACCTAGGATGTGTGTGACGCCTCTTGCGTGTACCTAGGATGTGTGTGACACCTCTTGCGTGTACCTAGGATGTGTGTGACACCTCTTGCGTGTACCTAAGATGTGTGTGACACCTCTTGCCTGTACCCAGGATGTGTGTGACACGTCTTGCCCATTAGAAATGGGAGCCCCTTGAGGCCAGGGATCAGTTTTTAATTTCTTGGTATTCCTGGCACTTAGTTGGGTACCTAGCATATAGCAGGTAATTAATAAGTGCTTACTGACCAACCTAGTGTATCCATGAAATCAGAGTTTCAGAACACATTGCACCTCTTCTCTTGAACACAGCAAACCCCCAAATGTGTAGCCTGCTGTGTGACATGCTGGGGAGACAAAGACAGACTTGAGAAATGCTCCCTGGCCTCGGGAAGCTTACGTTTATTCTGCTGCAGGAATGCAGCGTGTGAACGGATAGATGAACACAAAGCAGTTTCAGGAGCAGAGGGGCCCCTGAAGCCTGGCAGGATCAGGAGGGCCTTTGCTGACTTCATGCATTTCCACACTATTCTCCAGGTGTGGCCGAGTACACAGCCCATGTTGTAGTGTGGTCAGCTGTGGAAGCCTGATTTTAGGAAGGCTGTTGGTGAGCTGGGGCGTGGGGGGAGCGCCCATCAGAGGGCAGCTGGACCACTGAAAGGCCTGGACAGAATGCCTTCTAAAGAGCAATTGGAGGAAGTTGTGACATTGAGTTTGGCACTTGAGAGCTGCCTTCGAGTGTTCAAATGGCCGGCACGTGGAAGGACTGGCCCTTTTCTGCTTGGCCTGAGAGGACAGACCTCTGAACCATGTTAGGGATTGGGCGAAGGGGATGGCTGCAGACAGGCAGATTCAGATTTCATATCAGAAAAGACAGCTTCCTAATTCAAGTTACCCAAAGTTAAGTGCAATGCCTCACACACAAGAGGGAGTGGGCTTCCCGTCACTGAAGGTCATCACATAGATGTTGGGAGACCACCTCTGGGGGATGTTGCTGAAAGAACCCTTGCTCATACTGGAGATAAACTAAGATCCTGACATCTCTTCCCAAATGAAAATCTCTTGATTCTCTGCAATCAGAAGTCAGTGGGCTCTGCACAAGTGGAGGTCCAGTAAGGAGACTGGAAGACAGGAAACAAGGTGGCTTCTGGGTTATGGCTGAACATTTTCTCTGCCTGTTTGCGTTATCCATATGACGCTTCTTCTGGGTCTCCTTGGCCTAAAATAGCCACTCATCTATCATCTAAAATTGAGTCAGTCTCCACAAAACTGGGAAGGAGCTGAAGGTTGTTTTCTATTCCTATGTTCCTTGTCAGCCCCTTTCCTTCTGAGAGTCTCGATTCTTCCCATTTGCGATTCCTTGTCCTATTCACAGAGGGCTTCACTCTCAACCAACGGTCAGAATTGCCCCTGACGTGCTAGTTAATATCAAAGCTTAAAATGTTAATCCCTCTCAAAAGCATTTGCATCAAACCAAACAAATGAATCTCTAAAGGTGGGAATCCAGGCCAGATAGCTGGAGAGTAGCTCTTCTGGGAGCACAGATGTCCAGTACTACCTCATAATCACTCTACACTCTTTAGGTACTCATCAGCTAAAATTAAAATGAGACTTGTCTGGAGGGATAACAGCTGCTCACCCAAGTGAGCTGATGTTGATATGGGATATCCACCCTGCTCTTTCTTTCTCTCCAGGATCAGGATGTGTCAGGGGTCTCCCCGCTGCACCTTGCTGCTCGTTTCGGGCACCCCGTCTTGGTGGAGTGGCTGGTCCAGGAGGGCTGCAATGTCTCCCTGGAGACCGTGGAGGGAGCGCTTCCTATACACTATGCTGCTGTCAAGGGGAACTTGACCTGCCTGAAGCTGCTGGTCGCTGCAGACAATAGGTGAGCAATCCCAAAGGAGCACGGGAAGGGTGACTACCTGTCACAGGGGTGACCACAGTTGTGTCCAAAGATCTGTCTAGAGAGTTCCTCCACCCTGCTGTGAATGGGAGAGCAGCAGAAAGGGGGAGCAAGATCAGAACTGGGGGGTAGGGATTTTAGAGGCCATCAAATCCTATCCTCTCCCCCGTCGTTTTACCAGAGACACAGAGAGATAAGGTGACTTGCCTGGAGTCATATAGTTAGTAAGTATCTGAGGTGAGATTTGAATTCAGGTCTTCCTGACTCCCAGGCCAGCTTTTTATCCACTACGCTATCTTGCCTCTCTAAAAAAAGAAGCTGGGATACTTCAGTGCAGCTTTAGGAGGTCTGACGCAGGCTAGCAAGGCTTATGACCTTGGCATAAGGTAGCATCTTTCCTCAGTGGTTGCCAGGCAACCCTTCCTCCAATCCCCACATGGGATCCAAGGTCTCAAAGGAAATGCAATGCTTCTTGGGCAAACAAAGAGCAAGACCCTGAAAGTCTTTCACTGTGCTCGCCTTCTTGAAATGCCACGGAGGTTAGATGCTGTGACTCACCTCAGAGAGTCACAAATTTAGAACTGGATCAGACCGAGAAGTCAAGTGTCTTTGGAAAACGTGAAGGTGCAGAGGTGTAGGAGGCTTGGTGAATATTGTCAAGGTTGGAAAATGAGTGACTTGGGAGCCAGGCAGGCTTTCAAGAAATCGGATCCTTCTTAAGAGTGAATGCCTGAAATTAACAGGCAGAGAGATGGTCCCTTTGAATGGATAACCCCCATCTCCTCTGGATGAGAAAAGTAGGATTTAAGCAGCTCTGGAGGTGCAAGAGGAGGATTTGGGAGGGAGTTTGACAGAATGAAAAATTTCCTATGAAAATTTCAAGACACAAGAATGAGCTTCCGAAAAAAATCACCTTCTCAGACAATTATCAGACTCAGACCTGCTCAATTCTAGCCTTTGGGGCTGCTTGGAGAGGCTTGTTCGTAGTAACCTAAATCTAGGCCTGGAAGGGAACTCAGAGGCCATCTTTACAGCTGAGGAAACTGAGGCCCAGGAAGTAATTTGCTTAAGGTCACATAGGTAAATTGAACCCAGAATTCCTGACGCTGGCACTAGTGCTCCTTGCCCTGCACCACAGTGATCCCCCCGAAATGACCCTCCCAGAAGCCTAGCTTTCATCCCTTTGGCTCTCCCTTCTCACTTATCTTCCCCCATTCCTAGTACCTCAGCCTCTGCCCCAGCACACATCCACGTGCACACACACACACACACACACACCCCACATCCACACATCACATGCAACAAAGGACACTGGAAAATGTTTTGAGGTGAATAGTTTAGACTCAGAATCAGTCTCCACATCAGTGACCATTCCTCGAGGCTGTGAAAGAAAAGTTTGTCTTCTACACCTCCTTCCCCTTGGCTTCCCACCACCAGCCCTCAGGTCCCACTTCTCTGGTGTTCTCCCTCCCTCCTCTTCAGGAAACAGAAGTTGACAAGTTCATTGGAGCAGATTTAAAGTTGGGAAGGGACTCAGAGATCACCTAGTGTTATCATCTCACTTCATTTTAACTGAGGTCCAGAGAGGGCAAGCAATGTGCCCATTTGCTACAGGGTGTAAATAGTAGAATTGGGTTTTGAACCTGGGTCTTCTGACTCCAAACCTAGCTCTCCTTGCACCATAAAATGCCTCATACAATTCATTATTGTAATAATGTGTTATATAAAAATAAAATATACACATACATTCATACTCATTCCCAAGAAACATAATTTTACACATTCCATTCATCAAGGTAGTAATGTTACATGCATCTACACATTAGTGTGGGAATGTTACATACATTCCTATGCCGGTGGAATAAAAATCTTAAGCTAATTTTCCATTGACATCCTCTTATGATGACCCTGAATTCTCCAAGGCTGCCAATGGGGCTGAAGCTGGGGGATCTTTCCAAACTGGAAAGGCTTTCAGCATAGGCCTGATGGTGTCCTGGGTATTTGTTGTCTGGAGGAAGGGAGGAAGGGAGGGAGGGAAAGAAGGAAGGAGAATGAAGGAAGGAAGGATGGGATGAAGGAAAGAAGCAAGGAAGAAAGTGAAGAATGAAGGGAAAGAGGATGAAGAATGTAGCAAGCAGTGAGAATTAGCACAAGTGCATATTCATACCTGCTTTTGAAATGTAATTACGGCTGATATTTCTGTAGCTCCTCAAAGCTCATGAAGCACTTTGCACACACTATCTTGTTTGATTCTCACAAGAGTCTTTGAGGGTGGTTGAACAAATATCATTCCCATTTTATGGATGAGGGAGCTGAAGTTTAGAGAAATGGAGAGACTTGTCCAAGGTCAGCACAGGGAGTCAGTGACTGAGCTAAGACTTGAACCCAAAGCTCTGCCTTCACCTTCAGCAGCCTATATTCACACCCCACCTTGTTCTGCTATTCTCAGTCTCGGAGCCTCAGTTTCCTGCTTTTGATCATAAATGTTGCTGCTATAAGTGTTTTTTGTACATAATGGTCTTATTGCTATTAGTAACCTTCGAGTACAGTCCTGGAAATGGGATCTCTAGGTCAAAGGATGTAAGCAATTTCATAACTTTTCTTGCATAAAACATAAGCTCCATCCCACTCCCAGGAGACTATAAACTCCCTGAGGGGAGGAAATTCTTGGCGTGCAAACTCCTTCCTTGGCTGCAGATCTGACTCTTCTATACCTTCATAGAGAATCACCCTGGGCATTGGGAGGTTAAGTGACTTGTCTATGATGACATGGCTAGTATGTGGGGCTTGAACCCAAATAATCCTGATCCTAAGCTGCCTCTTTATCCACTGCCCCACACTGCCTCTTTATCCACTACCCCACACTGCCTCTTGCTTTACATATAGCAGACACTGAATCAATACTGGATTGGACAATTCCCAATTGTTTTCCAGAATGTTTGGACCAACTCACAACTTCTCTAGTGTCTCCAACATTGAACTTCCCTATTTTTACTAATTTGATGGAGAAGGGGGAGGGGCAACCCATCTCTTTAAAATTTCTTTCTAAAAAGTGTTTTTATTGACATATTTTATTTTATGACATTTCCACCCCCAAGTATATCCTGTCCCCCACTATTACCCAGAGAGTCAGATCTTGTAATAAAGAATTAAAGACAAAAAAAAACCAGTTTAACAAAACTAACCATTATATCCCTCATCCCAGGCTGACAGTATAGGACATTGTTCACACCCAGAATCCACCATCTCTCCAGTGAGAAGACAGAAGTTGAGTCTTTATCTTTTCCTACAGGGCCAAGCTTAGTCATTGTAATGATACGAGGTTCAGTTTTGCTCTCTTGTTCCTACCATATACATCGCTGGATTCATTGTATAGATTTTGTTTCCTGCTTCTGCTTACTTGACCCTGCATCAGTTCATATAAGCCTTCCCAGGCTTCTCTGTATTCTTCACTTTTTCTGTTTCGTACAATGCAATGTGCTATGACATTCACATACCAGGGTTGGTTCAGCTCAGCTAAGCCTTTTAGAGGCATCAGACAGAAAGGACAATTGGCAAGGTTTCTGACTCTATCGAAAAACAGACCTAGCCAAGCTTATTCCTGGCCTCAGCTGACTCCTCCTTCAGGCTCGTTCTTGCTGGAGTGCTAAACTCTAGTGGAAGGGTTACATCTTTTTTCTGACTCTCCCTTCTCTCTCCCATCTCCCCCCTACAGGTGTGTGAACAGGCAGACCCAGAGCGGAGCCTCCCCTCTCTACCTGGCCTGCCAGGAAGGCCACTTACACATTGTCCAGTTCCTAGTGAAGGACTGTGGGGCTGATGTGCACTTGCGGGCCCACGATGGCATGACCGTGCTACATGCAGCTGCCCACAGCGGCCACTATTCCGTTGTGGTCTGGTTGGTAAGAACATGGTCAGCTTGGGGAACAGAGGAAAGGAGGGAGGGGGTGGCAGGGAAGCTGTGGATCCCCATGTGAGATACAGTGAGAATGGCAGGAAATCATGGCCTTTTAGCTCCAATGACCAGGGGACCATGAGGATGGTGAGAGATCTTAAGACCATGCCCTGTGAAGATCAGCTGGAGAGCTGGAAGGGACTGAGAGGCCAGAGAGTCCCACCTCCTCATGTTACAATTGATATGACTTCCTGAGGGTCACACAGCTAGTGTAAGAATCAACCTGGACTCTCCTAGAGTCAGGAAGACTCATATTCTGGCCTCAGACACTTCCTAGCTGTGTGACTCTGGGCAAGTCATTTCACCCTGTTTGCCTCAGTTTCCTCATTTGTAAAATGAGCTGGAGAAGGAAATGGCCAACCACTCCAGCATCTTTGCCAATAGGGTCATAAAGGTCTGGACCCAGCTGAGAAATGACTGAAGAACAACTCCAGGCTTCCAGCACACCCCTGGCAACCTAAAGACCTAAGAATGGTCATTTTGGAGGAGAGACTGTAGAGGGATAAAGGGCAATGGGTTTGGAGACAGGAGAGACCTGAGTTCTAATCCTGGCTCTGGGAACATGAGGAGCTCATCAGTGCTCTCAGGCCTAACTCCTCATTTGGACAGGGACAGTCAATGGGGGAGGCCGAAGGAGGTCTTGGTGATTAGCAGGGCCAGCCTAGAATTGTACACACACACACATATACACACACACACACTCATACACACACATCTCTTTATGAGAACTCTTCAGGTCTAATTGTTTCATTGGTGTTTTCAATTTATCTTTATTAGTTTGAATGCTAATCTTAGGCTTCATGACCATTTGTTAGGTAGTAGAGGGCATTCTTGCTCATCTTTGTATGGAGCTTGCTAGTCCCTGCGTTCCCTTCCAATTGTCACTAAAATGAGAGTATTAAACTTGGTGATCTGAGGGTGATCTGAGGGGCAAAGTGGCTCAGTGGGAAAAGAACTGAAGCTGGAGTCAGAGACCCTGGGTTTGCATCTTACCGGTGCCACTTACTAAGTGTGAGACCTTGAGTAAGTCTCTTCCCCTCTCCAGGCCTCACTTTTTACCTCTGTAAAATGGGAGATTGGACCAAATCTACAAGTGAATTTCTAAGGTCGTTTCCAGCTCTAAGTCCTCTGACCGAGGTTTTAAAAGGAGAATTATGATGAAGAAAGGCTGGTAGTTAACAAAACACTGGAAAACAGTGGAAGAGAGATTAGACTCTACTCTGCTTGGTGCCAAGGGACAGAACCTGGAGCCAGGGGTGGGTGGAGGGGGCAGGAGAGAGATTTCAGTTCAATGTCAGGGAAACACCTTGTTCTGATAAGTAGAGCTATCTACAGATGGGAGGGCTGCCTTGGGAAGTAGTGGGCTTTCCATGGCTTTGGGGGGGGGGGAGAAAGGAGGAGGAGGAGGAGGGGGGGAGGAGAAAGAAGGGGAAGAGGAGGGGGAAGGAAGGGGAGGGAGGAGTCGTTTTGTCGCACAGGATGACAAGGCGTGGATGGGTTGCGATTTGCACTGGTAGAGAGAGCTCAGAAGTGACCTCACTGATGCCTTTACCATCTATGGATGGTACTTATATTAGCGTATCTGAGTTCCAGAATGAAAATAAATTAGCCAATCAATCAACAACATTCAGCTGCTCGGGTAGCCCTGGAATTGGAGGTGGGGAGCATCACAGGCAAACCAGCTGCTCCCGCTTTCCCCAGCGCTCTCCTGGTGAATGTGGTCAGATCCCTCCCTCCCAGATCTGTCCTCGGGGTTCGTTTTTCCTTAGTCAAAGTCTCCGCTCCCCCACCCCCAGCCCCCGAGCAGATCAGCTTTCAGAAAGAACAGTTGAGGGAATCAGCTTCTCTGAGCGCCGAGGGAGTCTTTGCTCGCGCAGCCCCCTCCTCAGCTTCGAACTGCTCACTCGTGACTCGGACTCATTTTGTCCGGAGGGAGCGGGGTGGGAAATGTATTAGACGTTACTAAACTAAAACGCATTCACGTGGCTCAAGTTCCCATCCAGGATAAAGCCTGGCACGAGAAAGCCTGGACCAAGGTCCAGATCTAGATCCTTTAAGAAAAAAAATATCTCTGTGTATTCCAAGTCATTCACTGCTCATTTCTCGCTGCCTCTCCTTTATTAGTGACGAATCACACAACCAGGAACAGACCGAATCTATCCTAGGTTTTGTTTGTTTTTTGTTTGGAATAAAGCGGTATTAAAGTAACAATTAAAACAAAAGGCGTGAGTAACTTTTAAGGACAGAAACTACTTTGTATTAGAACCCGGTGTTTAGTGGAAAGAAAAGGAAGGGGGAAAGCGGCAATTTTCCATCTACATGAATTTTTAGGCAGGGGAAGACACCCCACCACTGAAACATGCTAAGTCTCTCACACTCCTGTGAAAGAAAGAAAGAAAGAAAGAAAGAAAGAAAGAAAGAAAGAAAGAAAGAAAGAAAGAAAGAGAAAGAAAGAAGAAAGAAAGAAAGAAAGAAAGAAAGAAAGAAAGAAAGAAAGAAAGAAAGAAAGAAAGGAAAAAAGAAAAAAAGAAACACACAAAAGATTTTAGGGGCAGCTAGGTGGCACAGTAGATAGAGCTCCAGACTTGGAGTCAGGAGGATCTGAGTTCAAATCTGGCCTCAGACACTTGAAACTTACAAGCTGTATGACACTGGACAAATCACTTAACCCCATTGCCTCACAAAAAAAAGAAAAAGAAAAGAAACCCACACTCCTGTCTACCTGTGCCTATGTACAGGAAGGCACCAGGTGTTCCGAGGGAGCCCTGCTGTACTCAGCACAAATCTCCTTTGCTCTTCTGTTTCTCTCTATCTCTGTCTAAGCCTTGTGTCCATGCCAAATGTCAGTGAAAGTCTCTTGTTATCACCCAGGGCAGGAAGAAAACCCCTCTGTCTTTGGGACTCCACTTCCCAGAAGTCCCCTCAGCTGGTCTCTGAGGGTTTCCACTCTTTGTTTGCAGGGGGACCGATCTCCTCAGGACCTGGATCCACTTACTGTACTAAGCCCTAGGGATTCAAAGAAGAATCAAAACCCTTCTGGGCTCACTACAGGCTTCCATTCTTAAAATACTCTGTACCTGTGATTGAACCATTTAGGTTTTGGTGGCACTGTTGTTCCTGGGAAATCCCACCCTGTGATATTGTCAGTGCAGGGAACTCCCTGGGGAGGAAACTCTCTCTACCTGTGCAAGTAGCCACCTGTCCTTTAATTGATAATCTTAGGGAATTACCTGGGACCTTCAGAGGTGAAATGCCTAGCCCAGGGTCACAGGGCCAGGATGTGTCAGAGAAGCCAGATCTTCCTTCCTCTAAGGCTGGCCCTCTCTCCTCTAAAAATTGCTGGGTAGTAGTGGGCTCTCCATGGCTGGAGGGGAAAGAAAGGAGGAGGAGGAGGAGGAAAAGGAGGATTCCCATTTCTGGGAATGAATTTGATGGCTCAATTCCCTTTTCTTTTTTAAACCTCTGCGTTTGTTGTTAAGCTCTGTGTGGGACATTAGAATGAGGGCCATGTGCGATCACATCTAAATGTGGCAATTGGGAACCTGAGCTCTGTGCCCTGATTCACAGGCTGGCCTGGGAGGAAGTCAGTTTTCTGAGCATGTACAATGGTGTTGGACACATGAGATGCCCGGCAGGTTACGCCCTCATTGATGACCTGATGGTTGATTCCACTGGGCCAAGACAAAAGCCTTTCCTTGGCATCTCTGTCACCAGATGGACTGGGTGGGCTGGGCCTCCAGGATGCTTGAAGGGCTATGTGGCCAAGGGTTCAAGGTGGGGTTTAGGAGACCAAGGATTCCTTCTGTTCATGCCCATTCCTCCTTCCTCTTAGGTCACATTCACAGATATCAGCCTGATGGCTCGAGATGATGAGGGAGCTACAGTGCTACACTTTGCAGCCAGAGGGGGTCACGCACCCATTCTGGATCGGCTTCTTCTGATGGGTGCCCAGATAATCCGAGATCACTGGGGAGGGACCCCTCTCCATGATGCAGCAGAGAATGGGCACCTGGAGGTAAGGCACAGACATACTGCCCAGAAAGGCCTGGGAGTCCTTGAAAACCTCCCCAACCTAGCCCCAATCTGAGCATTGCCCAGGTAGTCATGGTGATAGGTCAGACACCGTATTGGAGTAAGTGATGCACGTGGGATCAGGATGTTGGCAAAGCTGCCCATGGCACAGAGGTGGGAGGGAGGCTTACTGGATGATAGAGGCCTGATCCTAAAAGATCATCATGGGCTTAAGAAGGAACATGGGCTGAGTATAACAAGATGAAATGGAAGAAGAAGAACTATGACATTTTACACATGGGCTCAAAATGTCAGCCTCACAAGTATAAGAAGGAGGAAGGCTTGGCTAGACAGAGCAGTTCATTTTTAAAAACCCAGTGGATTCTAGTAGGCTGTAGGCCCACTGAGCATCAACAGTGTGGTATTATAGCCAAGAAAACTAAGGTGAATTAGGGGACACTAAGGCAGTTAGAGCATCCAGGACTACGGGGCAAGGGGTGGGGGACAATTGTTCTGCTTTGCTGAGTCCTGGCCAGCCCACATGTGGAGTATTGTGTTCAGGTCTGGGCATCCCATTTTTGGAAGGGCATTGGAGAGGTGGGAGCAGGGTGGCCAGGATGATGAAGGGCCTGGGTCTACACTGTATGAAAGCTGGTTGAAGGAAATGGGAATATTTATCCTGGGGAAGAGAAGACTGGGGGGGGGCTTTTTCTCCCTGCCCCTTTCCTTCTCACCCTATCCCCCAAATCTAGGATCTACGGGTGAGAAAGGTATATTCACCTATCCAGGAGAACATAGCTAATGTCTTTCTTGAAATCCAGTCCCTAGTGACCAATGGCTGCCGGGCATCTTCACCAGGATGGGCCATGGACATCTCAAACTCAACATGCCCCAAACAGAAGCCAATTAACCAATCAACAAGCTTTAATTAAACCTGTGCCATGTACCAGATTCTCTACTGAGTACTGGAGAAACAAAGGCATGACTGAGACACTCCCTGGGGAAGCATCGTGTGTGTGTGTGTGTGTGTGTGTGTGTGTGTGTGTGTGTGTGTGTGTGTGTACATGAGATATATATTTGTCTCTCTGTCTGTCTATCTATCAACACACATGATATCAGGTAAGTTGGAGAACGAGGCCCCAGTAGCTCAGGGGACAATGAATGGTTTCATGTAGAAGATGGTGCTTGAGTTGCACCTTGAAGGAAGCCAAGGTTTTTAAGAAGAGGAGGTGAGGAGTTGCACATCTCCTTCCAAATCCATCCCTTCTTTCCATTTCCTTCTATCCACTGAAGGTACCACATTTCCCAGCCTCCCCCCCACCCGAGTCATCCTTGACCCCTTTCTCTCCCCTTCTTCTGTACAACCAGCTTCTCAGTCTTGTCAGTTCTGTTTTCTCAACATTTTCATGTTCTCTCACACAGGCACCGCCTTAGGTCAAGTCCCCATCCCCTCTCGCTTGGATGACATAATAGTCTTTTAACTGGTCTCCCATCCACTGTCTGCTTCCTCCAATCCACTCTCTATAGAGCTACCAAAATCATCATAAAGCATAGGTTGGCCCTTTTCCTTTCCTTGCTCAAAGAATAAAACTCCACTCAGCCTGAAGGTGAAAGCCCTCTTCATTCTGCCTCCACCCTCCCTTTTCAGTCTTATGTCATGTTTCTTCCTTAATTCCATTTTTGTTGAAATTTGTCTAACATCAGAATGGTAAACACAGGCTCTGAAGGTTGGGGTCCCCATCCAGTGTGTCTATTTCAGGTGGGGAGAAGGGTATGGGTAGCTGGCCAAGACACTCTCCCCAGGTCTAATGTTCTCTTCAAGTGTCCCAATAGAATGTCTTGCACACCCCTGGGGTACACATGCCCAGTGGTGTCCTGGTAAATGTTTAACCAAAAAGAGCACACACAACACTTTTAAGATTAGTCTTTATTATTAGCATCCTCTACATCATTTTCTCAAGTCTGGACAATCAACAAAACAGTAAGTCAAGCCCTGGTTAGTAGAGTTCACTGATTTCCAAGGTGTGAATGCTCCCACTGAAAGTTGAACACTTGGCTCTCTCTCAAGACAGTGTGAGCTGGCTCCAGCATACTCCTGCTCACCCAGAGACCATTGGCTGAGGGCACCACGTGAAAAAGCAAATGGGTAGAACTGAGGGTTTCAGAAGCTGGAGTCCCTTGACTCTGGACTTCAGGAGACCAACAGAATAGGTTAGCCAACAGGACAGGGACACTTCAAGACTTCATTTTTATTCTCTTTCCCTCGGGTTCTAGAGGTAGCCTGAATGGAACATTGAGCCCGATGCCCTTTTGTGAATAAGGGCTAAGACCATGCTGAGAGCTTGTGAATTGGAGAGAGTATTTAGGGTTTCTCTGTCATAGGTAAGAAATCTAGAAAAGAACAGCAGTTGAAGTTCCCATTGGGTGTGGAGGTGACCCAGGAGTCTCAGAACAGCAGAGTCAGAGAATCCCAAAGAGTCCTCAAAGGGACCTCAAAGACTGGAAGGTCCAATCTTTGCCTGAATGAGATGTCAAGATCCCCTCTCCATCATCCTCCAAAATCCAGTCTTTGCTGGAAGAGCAGTCGTGAGTCATCGAACAGATGACCAAAGGGGAGGGTGGAGCTTTGCCTAACCCAGCAAGGATACAGAGGCACTTAGCTTCTGTAGAGGCAGAGGACCCTGTTTTCCTCATCTATAAAATGGGATCATAGCAGCAGCAACCTTCCAGAGTTGTTGTGAGGATAAAATGAGATAATATCTGTAAAGTGCTTTGCAAATCTTGAAGCTCTCTCTATATGCTGCTCAATGTGGTCGAAATGGAAATCAGGACCAAAAACAGCTCCATAGTCTAGAAGGGTGAGTCAAAGAGGACTAAATGACATTTAATAGGGAAAATGTCAAACCTTACACTCAGGTTAAAAAAATAATCTCCCAGGCACAGCATGGGGGGGAGTCTGAGTAGACAATTATGCTTATGGACAAGGTCTGGTGGTTTTCTGTGAGTTGGCAGTAAGCCCCGGCAGGCCCCAAAGCTAATGACATCTTGGGCAGCAGGAAGAGCAACTGAGGGTCAGTGACAAGGAGGGTGATGGTCCTTCTGGCCTCTGCCCTTGGTCCTGCTGGCCTCTGGCCTCTGCCTTTGCAAGAACACGGCAGCTTTCAGCATCAGGAGCCTGATTCTGGTGCCTCCTTTTAGGAAGGATGCTGATAAGCTGGAATACATCCAGAGGAGGGTGATGGTCCTTCCGGCCTTTGCCCTTGGTCCCGCTGGCCTCTGGCCTCTGCCTTTGCAAGAACACGGCAGCTTTCAGCATCAGGAGCCTGATTCTGGTGCCTCCTTTTAGGAAGGATGCTGATAAGCTGGAATATATCCAGAGGAGGGTGAGCAGGATGATGTGGGCACAGGAGATGATGAAATAGAACTCAGCGGAGGAGCTGGGAATTCTTTCTCTGGAGGAGAGGAGATGCACAAGAGCCCCATCTCTCCCTTGAAGTATCTCAAGCACTGTCAGCGGATCAGGGATTCACCTTGTGTGGCTCCCCAGGTCAGAGCCAGGAGCAAGGAGAGCCTGGCTGATCCTTGTGGCAGAGGCGGGTTTTGGTTTGATGTCAGGGGAAAGGCCCTCAGGATTGTAGCTATTCCCAAGCTGAATGGGCTGCACTGAGTGCCGGTTTCCTCATTACTGGAGGGCTCCGGGGGAGGGCAGGTGACACTTGGGGATGATGGAGAAGGAATTCTCCTCCAGGTACAAGCTGGACTAGGTGCTTCTCAGCATTCCTCCTAATCTGATAGTTTAGGATTCCATGAACGAGACATTTACCCCTAAGAAGGAAATGAGCAAGACAAGCTAGGATGAGGAAAGGAGTCACAGTCCTTACCTGTGCATCTCTAGGATGTAGGATGGTAGAGCAGAAAGCAGGTGGGGAGTCAGGAGGCTTGGGTGTGAATTCCAAGTGACCACAGCTACCAGCTGGGTGATCCTGGCAAAGCCATCTACCTGTTAAATGGGGGCAGCAAAACGCATACTGAGCAGCTAGGTGGTGCAGTGGATAGAGCACCAGATGTGGAGTCAGGAAGACCTGAGTTCAAATTTGACCTCAGACACTTCCTTCCTAGCTGTGTGACTCTGGGCAAGTCACTTAGCCCTGTTTGCCTCAGTTTCCTCATTTGTAAAATGAGCTGAAGAAGGAAATGGTAAGCCACTCCAGTATCTATGCCAAGAAAACCCCAAATGGGGTCACGAAGAGTCAGACATGCCTGAAAGATGACTGAACAGCAACAGAAATACGTATACTGCCCATCTCATGGGAGAGTTACGAGGAAATCGCCTTGTAGACCTCAAGTGGCTGGAGAGATGGGTGTGGGGCAAGGATGTGGGTGTGGGCAAGGCCGGCACCCTTCTCACTCTGCCCAATGGTGTCGTTTCAGTGCTGTCAGACCTTGGTTTCACACCGGGTGGATCCTGCACTTCAGGACGGCGATGGCTATACCGCACTGGACTTGGCAGTCTATAACGGCCACCGTGACTGCTCTCGGTACCTGCTGGAGGTGCAGAAGCTGGTGAGGAGCCTGGAGCAGTGGGGAGGGGGGCAGTGAGCTCAGCCTGTCCCTGCTCCCTTCCGAGCCCAGGAGGGCCATCAAGGTTGTTTCCCCATGCCTAGCTGAGAACAGTCTCCCATAGGCATAGTTTCTGTTTGTTTGTTTGTTTGTTTGTTTGTTTTTTCTAGGGGTGCTAATGCAGGGATGGGAAGAAATCTTGGAGGTGGGGAGTGGAAACTCACTTTGGTGTAGCTCAGGAGCAAAAAGTACACCAGCTTTTACAAGGAAAGATAAAATGACCCTCAACCCTTCAGTAACAGGCTAGCAGAAGCTGGCTTAGGCAAAGGAACCAGCTCTTTAGAGCACAGCAAACAGAGGGGAAGAAGGTGCACGGGTGTAAGGACAAAGTATTGACCTAGGCTAAGAAGAAGGGTGGGGAGATGGTGGCATTCCAGAGGACAGCTGAGCTGGCTTTGAGAGGGGGTACCCCCTCCAGGACAGCTGGCCCCCCTGAGGAGCCCCAGGAGCAAAGCTTCACTGAAGGAAGCCCAGGGTAGGCCAATGACCCACGTTCACTGGTGCCCAGTGCAGACCTGTGAAGAAGCCAAGGTTTGAGGCACAGAGCTCCTAAGCAGGGTTAGGGAGGTGGTGTCAGGGGTCAGTAAAGGCCCAGGCACTCTGACTTAGGTATGGCTTCGTAATGAGGGTCATTTTTTAACCTTCATTTTTATAAATTATCATAGCTTTAATGCCTGCAAATTCAAGCCCATCAGAATGAACGTTGTGGCCAATCTCATAGCATGGTTAAGGTGGAGCCTCAAAGCACTGGAGAGTAGTTACCCCCAGGGGCACAACATTCCCGCTTTGTTCAGGCTGCAGAAATGCCTCCATGCCAAGTGCATCTACCCCAGGACTGGCTCCAAGAGGGTGGCGTGGGAGAAGGTGGAGAGCCAGTGTGGTAGAATAGGCCATGAGCTATTCTGGGTGCAAATATTGCTTTTGACATGCACATCCTGGCTGTGGGGCCCTAAGGAAGTGGCCCACTTAACTTCTCAGCACCCCAGGCAGTGCTCAGAGACAGTCCGCTACAGGGCAGGGGCTGTTTTGTGAGGGTAGAGGGAATCTGCACACCAGAAGTTCCTTGTACCAATTAGATACGGTTCTGGTCTTCCCACCTTCATCCGCCCCAAAAGAGAGAAGGCACCTTCCTGGCAGCCTCACCCTTCACCTCTCACCCTCAGCAGGACTCACAAAGGATGAAATGGTTACTGTTCAGTGGTTTCAACCATATCTAACTCTGCATGACCCCATTTAGGGTTTTCTTGGCAAAGATACTGGAGTGGTTTGTCATTTTCTTCTGCCTCTGGCATTTATTACGATATAACCTGGTCATAGCTCGGTGGTGCAGCAAATGGAGTGGAGTCAGGAGGACCTGAGTTCAGATTTGACCCTGCAGGGTGATGTGACTTGCTCAGGGCCACACAGCTGGTAAGTGCTGAGGCAGCGACTATTAATGTATCAAACAAGAGCCAGGAGGGGGCCCCAGTCACTGGTCATTGGCTACAGGAGAGGCCCATTCCCTGCCCTAGCCCCACCTTCGGCTTCCACCTGGCTGTATCCCCTGCCCTGCTCCTCCCCCCCCAGCCCCAGCTGGGCACACCCCACCCCATGGTGCAGGAGCTGACGCAGACTGCTGCAATATTGATGGGAGATTGGGTGTCACCAGGCCTCTTCCTGGCGTGGCTTGGGTATCTTCCATCAAGACTCCAGCAGGAGGTGTTGGAAGTGATCATTTCTCCTATGACAAATGACCTGCAGTTGTCCCCTGTGATTTCATCCTGCTGGGCCAGGGTCCATACTGCCTTTGCATCTCCTCCTGGGCCCTGGTTGCTAGAGGGGCTTCGGTCTCCTGGTCAGTTGGATGCCTGCAGAGAGTCAGAGATTAGAGCCAGGGGTAGAGAAGCTCCTCCCACCAGGGCTGGAAGGAACCTCAGAGAGCTCCTAGTTCAATCCCCTCAGTTTGCAGAGGAGGAAACTGAGGCCCAGAGTGAGTGGTATGAAGTGAACTCACAGGCCCCCAAGTGAGCCAGGGGACAAAGCCAGAATCAGAACCCAGATATGCAGACTCCTTGGCCACATCACTTTGCACTAGACACCTCTTGCTGCTCACATTTTTATTTCTGCCCGCCTGCCCGCCTGCCCGCCTGCCCGCCTGCCCGCCTCCCCGCCTCCCCGCCTGCCTGCCCACCTCCCCGCCTCCCCGCCTGCCCGCCTCCCCGCCCGCCTCCCCGCCCCCCCGCCCGCCCGCCCGCCCACCTCCCCGCCTCCCCGCCTCCCCGCCCGCCTGCCCGCCTCCCCGCCTGCCCGCCTCCCCGCCCGCCTCCCCGCCTCCCCGCCTGCCCGCCTCCCCGCCTCCCCTCCTGCCCGCCCACCCGCCCGCCTCCCCGCCCGCCCGCCTGCCCGCCTGTCAGACTGAGCACTCAGTTGAGGTCAGAGAGGCATGTCGCTGGCCTGGCCCAGCATCTCTTGAAGACCACCCTCTAACTTCTAGACGGCCTTCAGTCTGTACTGGTGGGGAAATACCCTCGCCGTTGACATGACAGGTACTCAAAGTGGCAACATACTAATTCCTTCATTCATTTGTCCCCTTACTCATTTGTTCATCCATTGTTCTTTAAGGCTCAGATGAGAGAGTGTAGACAAAGCCCATTGCAGGGGACGAGATGAGGTCATGTCTGTGAAAGTGCTGAGCACAGCAGCTGACACATAGTAGGTGCTCTCTAAGTATGTATTCCCTTCCTCCCACTGCAAACTCTGAGGTGCTGGCCACATCACTGCTTCCCACCTCCTCTGCACGCCGTCCACACAGAGGGTAGCCCGGCTATGAGCCCAGCTCCTGCAGCCTCGCTCTCTCTCACCGGCTCCTGGAAGCCTGCTGCCTTTCTCCCCGTGGCTCCAGCCCTTCTTACCTGGTGCCCCAGATTCTCATATGCTTCTGGAGTTTGGTGAGGAATAGTCTCACAACCCCCATCCTACCAGAAAAACTCCTTTCCTTGCCCCGATCCCTTGTCCTACTGTGCGCATCCACGGTCAAAACTTTAATGAAAACATTAGAAATGGTTCAAAACAAGAAAGCTTCCTTCTCCTGCTCTTCCTCTTCCTCCTCCTCATAGCTAACATGTATATAGCACCTACTGTGTGCCAGGCACCATGCTAAGGGCTTTATAATTATTATCGTATTTCATTTTCACAGCTCCGGAAGGTAGGTGCTCTTATTATCCCCATTTTACTAATGAGAAAACTGAGGCAAACGGAGTATCAAGTCCTCATGGCCCTACCCCGATGATGTGGTCATCTCCCCCACTTCCCAGTGAAGAGCTGGGAAGGATAAACGGCCAAAGATTTCACTCTAATGGCTAAGCCACCACAGAGGTCAGTGTCCACTCTGTTCAGGTGACTCAGGAACTTAGAGCTGTATGAGTCCTTCCCAATGGATAATGGTGACCACAGCTCTGATTCCAGCTGGCCATGGTGTCCCTTTCACACCGGGTACCTGGCAGTGGTGGTGGTGGTGGTGGTGGTGGTGGTAATTCCCTGCCCAGGCAGCTGACAAGGATGAATACCAGGCTTCCTAACAGGGCACCATTTTCTATTCTCAACCACTTTTGAAAGCCCACTTAGGGCCACATCTCCTCCTACATGGGCACACTCTACCTAGCATGTCAAGCCTCCAAACTCCGACCCCAACAATGTATTTTTTTCAAATTTGTTTTATTTTCCTCACAAGGTATTTTTTATTTTGGGGTGAGGCAATTGGGGTTAAGTGACTTGCTTAGGGTCACACAATTAGTGTCAAGTGAACTCAGGTCCTCCTACTCCAGGGCCAGTGTTCTATCCACTGCACCATCCACTGTACCATCTAGCTGCCCACCCCTTTTTTTCAAATTTGATACTACTGTCTCTTCTCCAAGGAGGTCCCAATGTCTGCCCAACTTTCTGTTCTGTTCTGTTCTGTGTCCTCTTGGCACATGTACCTGGGGCCGTCTTCTCAGTGCATGGCCAGGATAAATGCACTTTTATGAAGTTTTGGGCCCCAATGTTGGTATTGTTGGAGTGAAAGGAAGTGAGTGAGAATGGCCTTGGGTCCTCCAAGGCCACCCAGAGCAGTCTGCTATCGAATGATGTGTTGCAATAATTATTCAGCTTCATTCAGCCAGAATTTCTTAAGCACCTACTACGTGCCAGGCAAGCAGAAATGACACAATCCCTGCTTCCAAGGGGCAAGGGCTATGGAGGGGAGGGGGAGAACAAGAACTACACAGATAAATGGATAGAGAGCAAATTCAAGGAAAGTGATTGTTTTCTTTTTTTTTTTTTCCTTTTTTTGCAAAGAGAGAAATCAAGCAATCAGGAAAGAAAGGCCTCTTACTGAAGGCCCCACCTGGGCTGAGCTTTATAGGCCACTAATGATTCTGAGAAGCACAGGTGAGGAGCCGGTGATGCTGGCATGAGGGCAAGTCTGTTCAAATGGAGACATGTAATGTTGTGGATAGGCTGTGGCAAGTAGGCCATTTTGTGGGGTTTTTTGTGTGTGTGGTTTTTTGTTTGTTTGTTTGTTTTTTTGGCTAGGTAATGGGGTTCAGTGACTTGCCCAGGATCACACAGCTAGAAAGTGTCAAGTGTTTGGTCTGAGGCTGGATTTGAACTCAGGTCCTCCTGACTTCAGGGCTGGTGCTCTATCCACGCACCACCTCACTGCCCATAAGTAGGCCATTTTGGCTGGAATGCAGGGAGCCTGAGAAGGAGGAGGAATAGGAAATCCCTCCTCATCTCTGGCCTGGACTGTTGCAATAGCCTCCTAATCAATCTCTGTGGTCCTAGTCCCCCCTGTCCCTTCCTCCATCCTCCACAGAACTGGCAAAAAAAAAATCTCCCTCAAGCACAGATCTGACCACGTCGATTCCCTGCTCAAAAGTCTTCGATGGCTGCTTGTGGCTCTAGGTAAAATCAGAACCATTCAGCCTGTATTTCCAGGAGTCTTTCACTCGACTCCCCTTTGTTCTGGGAAGCTTTCCAAAGGTGCAGGACAGAGCTACCGAGTGACTTACTCTTTCCTGGGAGCCCTACACCCCTGTAAATTCTAAGAAGCATAGAAGCACCAGAGCTCAAAGAGATGCTGGCATTCACATAGGCTGGCCCCCTCATCTGACCCAGGAGGAAGCTGATGTCCAGCCCAGAGAGGGCAGCCGTCTGGTAAGGGGCAGCCCCAGACCTCCTGCCTCTTGGCTGGACCTCTGGCTTCCCCTCCCTCGGAATCCGGCTCAGGAAAGGGCTTGTAATGGAATCTCGGCTGCCAGGCTTGATTTCAGGGCTTTCATCGAGTGGGGCATGATTTTCTTTGGCCGTTGGATTATGTTACCGCCAAGGTAGCCCCTGCATAATGTATGCCAAGATCTAGTCAAGGTGCCAATGTCACTGGAAAGAAGAGGAAAAAAAAACAAAAGCCAGTGAGAAGAGAGGGCCAACTTCTCAGCCAGGCAGAAAAGACCCTTTGGCCATGCACAGGATACCGGCCTGCCCATGTCTCAGTCAGCCAGCATCCTAAGTCGCCATTTCCCCAGAGTCCAGACAATCACGACACTCCAATAACCAGATTTCCCACCAGAAGCCTGCAAAGTGATATTTAATGCTCCTAAGATCGGCTGCAATACATAAGAGAGCTGTCCTCAGTCAGGACAGCCTGGGTTCAAGCCCTGCTCCTGACACACAGGCAAGGGTTCTTCCCCCTCCTGTTAAGTCTGGGGAAACCTAGGGAGCCCTCCAAGGAATCAAGATTTAAATGCATAGGATTGCAAAGGAAATTGATTGTGCCGAAATTAGTAATTAAATATATTTTTAAAAAGACATTCACAGCTCCCAGGTTAGGAACCATTGCCCTAAGACACAGGGTTTCTTCACCTGATCTTCCTCACATGATGAAGTGACAGGTTGGCACATACTAGCAGAATGAGGAATTAGAGGCCGTGCAGGATCTTGAAGCACCTTCTGAGTGGGCCAAGAAATGTCAGTGCAGTTTCCACGTGCTTTTCCCGCAAAGCATGTTTTGTCGTACCTGGATTCTTTGAAAGCCTGGGCATGGATTAGAGTGAGCAGTGAATCTTCACCAATGAGAGTGTGCCCTTAACAAGATGGCCCTGGTCCCTGGCCCTCCAGGGATGGTGGCTTCAGTGCTGAACTTGACCTCAGAATTAGGAAGAGCTTGGGAAGCCCCTGCTTGCCCTGAGGATGCTGGGCAGGGCCGCAGAGGTCATCAGGTCTAAGCCTCCCACTGAGCGCTTCAGTCAGTCAACTGGCAAGCATTTACTGTGTGCCCTGCACTGTACTGGGTTTGTGAAGAGTCCTTGCCTTCAGGGAGCTCCCATTCTAAGGGGCAGATGGCCTCAGGGGGAAGGCACCAAGCATTAAGGGACATGAGCTGAGTCTTGAAGGAAGCAGGAGGTGGAGGTGAGGAGGAAGAGCCTTCCAGGAGTGGGGCACAGCCAGGCCAAAGACATGGTGTCAGGAGATGGAGGAGCAGCCAGGAGGCTGGTGTGGTCAGAGGGAGGATATGAAGCCAGGCCTCATCTGGGCCAGCATTCTTCCCGTGAGGCCTCCTTCCGAGGAATAACAGGGGTTCATCATTCAGCGGTGGGGCTGCAACCCCCACCAATGCAGGTCCTGGGCCCCACCTACATCCCGTGAGGTTCCCTTAGGCCATTCTGGAAGATCCGACCTTTGGTGCTTCCAGGATTGGCAGTCTCTCCCAAGGGAGGCCACCAAGCTCCCTCCTGACAGCTTCGGGTAAGAGACCCAGCGCCCCATCCCACAGCGAGCCAGCCACCTGATACTAGCCTTCAAATATTGATGCCGTGCTAAGCCTGACTGCCTGATCCCCCATCCTCTCGGGAGGAGGCTGGTGCATGGCATAATGGGCTGGCCAGGCGCGTCCAGGCTGGCGGGCTGGGAGGTCCAGTTTCTCTTCCTCATGGTGAGTTGCCTAGGGCAGGCTCTTTCCAAGGGGGTGGCAGCTGGGGGTCCCACCTTCTGACTGGGATCTCAGGGATGGTTCCCCTCCCTCCAGGCTACTGGTCAGGTGGATTCCTGGAAGGCCGGCCCTGTTCACTGGCCCTTTAAGTGGGCTTCCTCCACTCCCCTGGGGTCTCTTCCCCTCATCCTGTTCCTCCAAATCCCTTTGTTGTGTTTCACACTTGGACGGTCCTGGACCATCCTGGGGGAGGGCTCGTCTTCCCTGGGGAGAATTCTCCTGACGCTGAGGGTCATGTTTCGCTGGCTCCCCCCTCCCCTCCTGGAAGGACAGGATGAGAAGGATGCTGAAACGAGGCACTTTTCCATGACCGGCAGGCACTGAAAGACTGTTTGGTCTAGTGGAGAGATCACGGGGCCGAAGTGAGGACACACTTGGGTTTAAAACCTGGCTGTGTGACCCGGG